GAAGAGGAAAGAAAACCTACAAAAGCAGCGACCACAAAGGCAAAGATACAAAAATCCATACCCAGATACATTTACAAAACTACACCGCACACAAGCAAAAACTCGCTCGCTCGCCACATACTGAGACGTCGACGTCAACGTCAACTGCGCAGAGGCAGAGACAGAGGCAGCGACTGATGTTTACACAACGTGCGGTATATTTGCAAGATACTCGTCGCACAACAAAAAAAAAAAATAGCAGCAAATGTATTTTTCTTTTTCTCTTTTTTTCGACTCTAATTGAAAACAAGCAGAGAGTGTGTGTGTGTGGAAAAAACAAGAAAAACAAGCACAACGAGCGTCTACAGCTGGCTCTGGGGTATTATTGTATCTGTTAGATGCGAAATTGCAAACCCACCAACAGGCAACGTTGCCGAACTTCAGCGTATTGCTTTTTCTTGTTTCTTATTTTCCTGCAGCTTTGTAGCCGCGTAGCGCACAGTTTGTGTGCATGTATGTATCTGTGTCTTTGCGGCGCAGCGTTCTCTCGTCGTACGATGAAAATTGCTGCAACAATGTCGCTTAATTTTCATGCGGCCAGCAGTATTATTATGTATGCACCTGATCGGGCCTTTATGATAGGCCCCAGAAAGCCGAACAACCGGTTTACAACGTCACCCAGCCCCATCATCATCACCGTCATCAAACATAATCCCAATCCAAGTCCAGGTCCCGGGTTCCAACTGGTTATCACCAAACAGAAACACAAACAGGTAACAGAACACCAAAACCAAGGCGAACTGAACCCGAGCCGAGCCATCATCATCATCCTTCTCCGCTTTCTTGGTTCGATATCGTCTGGTTGTATTTACAGATCCGACCAAAAGTTTAGCCTAGCCACGACGCGATTATAGTATAGCTATCCATCTCTGAAATTTTGCAGTTGTATACATTTTTTTTAGTTTCCCAGTTTTCTGGATTTAAAGTTTAGAATAGGTATGCAGTAATGATGACGTAAAGTAACTGGACTTCCGAAGAAAAAGCAGTGTAGTATATGTATAGGTAGCCATGAAAGGTTTCGGGCTGAAAGTATTGGTTAGGCTAGCTGCACAATATCAAAAAATATAATAAAAACCTCTCTAATATTTTTAAATTAGCCCGAAATAAATGTTAAAGCATTTATAAAGATAATGGTAGTTTTTAACACAAAACTATGTATGTTTTTAGATGTCCCCTCTCTCCAAAACATGATTTTTACTAGTTTGAAGCCGGTTTACACACATTTTTGGCCACTTCTGTATGATAACCATATTTTCTGAGCCCGTTCGTCAGCTCTTTGGGAATAATAATCGATTCTTGCTGCGCCTTCTTTGTGCTGGCTCTGTGCCTCCTCGCCTCGTTCGGCCTCACAAACACAGGGCCAAACAAACTCACACAATCGCCCCTTGATGATAATCTTTTTTGTCTGTCCGGTTCTTTAGCACCTTTTGTCACCGTGAAAAGCGGCAACGTTGCGCGCAGCAGAGACGGACTCACGGATCCGGAGATTCATCTCCATCTCTGCTTCTCGGCCTCCTGCTCCCGAGCTCAGCTCATGTGTGAAATTATTTGGGAATTTTCTAATTTCCCATACAAAAGCTGAGTTATCGCATCGCCGACAGACGTCGTCGAGCCGCCCCTTGTCCCCTTTTTCCCACCAACCTCGTCACGTTCCCTTGTGATATCTCAATCCTCCTATTGCATGGCACTTACTCGGTTTTTTGCCCGGTTTTTGTTATTGTTTTGGGTATTACGACACTGCTCAAAAAACAATGAAATGTGCATTGCCAGGCATAAAAAGTGTAAAACAATAGCAACGGAACAGCGGAATATGTTTGGCTATATGAAAATACATATATAATTGCACAACTGGCATGAACCGCCACAATATTCCGCCCAATCAACTTATTTCTATTGCTTTACGTTCCAAAACGTAGTTCGATTTGGTGTAAGGCCAATATTGTTGTTTAAACTGGGACTTTTTCTATTGCTATGAATCTAGTTTTTAAAACTTAAAACAATTAAAAAAATTTTAAGCTTTTTACAGGTGGAAAATAACAAAAATTTCTTAATATGTAATATTATATATTTAACATTCAAATTAAGTTGCAATTGAAAGTTTTTTTAACTGAAAACCCTTTCTAAATAAATAATTTTATTATTTAATTTATTTTTACAAAATTACCCATTATAACATGATGTAAAAAACATAAAGATAATTTACAATTCCTTTTTTTAATATTTGTACGGTACCTATCAGGATGATTCAACCCAATGAAATGTACAAAGAAATTTTTAAAGCCATGTGTTTCATTTATATAAAAAAATTAAACGAAATTCCGAGATAAATTTCAAAGTCAGTAAAAGCAACGCCACCCGGACGGACCTTATCAATCCAGCGAAATCGGGCAGAACAAATTTTCAACTGGCAGTGAAAATAATAACAATAACGCCGCACAAGTGTGAGTTGGCTATGGTTATAGAGTTCTGTTTATACTCCTGTTCCTGCATTGGAAAGCAGTCGTTGGATGGATCGGATGAGTAACCAGAGACCCCCGCTCCAGACCCCCCAAGAACGAAAAAAATAATAAAAACACGCCATAAGCCAATGACTAAACATTTGAATAATTGTAAAGTACGAAAGTACAATGGTATGGTAATTATTGGGAATAGAAAATAATTGAGTTGCTTTTTGTGTAGCTGTGGTTTTAAATCCACGTATATATCTTTTAGTTAATAAGAAACATCTACAAAATACTATTTTAAAATATTTCATTTTGTATATGCATTTTCATTTCTCGAAATTACAAGTTTTGTAGGACGCTTAGATTGGCGCTTCTCTATCTAATCTACATTTTTAGCTTTGAGAGAGGAGGAAACCTCAATGCCAAAAAGAACACACAGCGGGCAAAAAAAAAACTATAAATTCCCGTGTAGCCGTGCAACAAAAACAATAATGAAAACCACAATAACAAGAGCAACAAATATAAATGTAACATGACATTGAAACGAGTCAAAAGCACTAAAAAAAGTACATACAGGCCCACATTTTCGTCTGTATAAAATCTGATATAGATCATTATTATTGTTTTTTTGCTGCCTTGCCATTTCGTGTTAAAAAACGAAACACGAAATTCAATTTAATAAAGTGATCTAAGTTGACGTTGCCGGGGTTAGATGGGGTTCCGTGGGCCAGGGAATTAGTGGGAACGTTATTACAAACTAAAATTATTTCCAATTAAAATTTTCCGATTCCGAAAGAAAACGGCAACGAAGCTCGGATGACGTGCACTTCAAAGGTGAAAGATACGAAAAATAAGACAAAATTGAACAACGCCCTAGGAAACTAACCTCGCCTCTCTTTCTTATATTACTCAGCTACAAATAAACAAATAGGCATTTTGCTCTGCTAGAGTGCAAAGTACTCAATGGAAAAAGAGGGTGATAAAAAGTGCGTAATTTAAGCTTGCAGCTGAAACTATAATTTGTCGGTTTTTGGTGTGTGGTGCTGGCGGCTCACTTCTTTGGCTTATGCCGCTGGGTTCACTGTCAATGTCAGAAGACAACGTCTGGTTTTGAACCGCGTCAATTCCACGATTTGTGTTGGTAATTGCCGCAAAACTATTAAATGGAGGTTTGCCCACTGCTGTCGACTGACATTGATGCGGGTTTAATGCAACAGCAACCGCATAGAAAAGCAGAAAACATAGCATGTGTTGGTCTAGTCTCTGTCGAAAAAAACATTTCGGCTGTGCCTAATGAAGTAATTAAAACATTTGACTTTTGCACTGCACGAAAATATAGAAGGGAAGGGGAGCGCGAAACTCGTTTGACTCACGAAAAAAATACATCGAAAAAGACAACCAAAGAACGGAGGAACAAAACAATTTGCTCAGAGGTTCTTTTGTTTAGGCCTGAAAAAAAAACACACAAAAGGCACAGAAACTATAAGAAAAGTATTGCGCAATAAAGGGAGATGAATGAAAGAACCTCGAATATTTTTACTGTTTAATAAATATTAAATAGTTAAAATGTAATGCAAAAAATTATCCAATCCTAAATATTGTGCAGGTAGAGAGAAGATTGAAGGAAGTGGTATCGAGCTGTGAGGAGTATCTTCTGAGCAGCAGCCCCATTGCCACATGTCGTTCTATCTTCCCTTCCCTTAGTTTTTGATTCTTTTTGCTGCTGTTTGTACACGTAGTCACATATACACACCCATGCCAAGTGGGACCCACTCAGGTAAGAGGTAAGATACTTAGAAAAGCAAAGACACGACAAGTCAAGGTAAAAAAGTTACGCATTCTTTTTCGGGCATGGCCAGCTATTAGCTTTTGTATCTCACGGATTGCCAGGGATGTGGGGATTTGAAGAAAGGGAGCAAGAGTAGCAGCTCTGACAGGCAACCAGCTTAGAAATTCATCTCGCAGATACTTTCGTATCCCAACTGGATGATAAGAACGGCCTCGTGTGGGCAGCAACGGATACAAGTAGCTGTGAGTGGCCTACGCTGGCATCTAACAGATACAATATACATACATCTCGGAGGTTGGTTTTTTCTGGTTTCTGTTTCCTAACTTTGAAATAGTTTATCATGACCGAGGCATTTTAGCACCCACGCGCATCTATGTAGCAACTACTGGTCGGAGACTGCTGGGATCCGATATCAAGGTATCATAAAGTCTTCAAAGAAAGAACTGTGATAAAAAATATAGCCTATTGGCACAAGTTTGATGGGTTAAACTCGGTGCTAATTAAACAAGACATTACAAATATTTTCTAATTTAGCTAGTATTGGACATAAAATATATTTAAAAATAAAAATAAACATATTCTAGAAAACCTTTTAGAAAAATTACTTTGTACTGCAATATTTACAAATCAAATTGAGGCATTACGGAAAGTATTTAAGGCTTGTTTAAGAGCTATGGACATTTACTTTGGTTTGAATAATGTTAAACGCCTTTTTAGGGCGAACTTACCTTTTCAATTTCTGATTATTGTTGTTGACGTTGTTATTATTGTTGTTATTATTTATGGTGCTGCTATCCACAACGAACTGTTGTTGCTGCTGCTGTGGCTGGGGTTGTTGTTGTTGTTGTTGGTGCGGCGTAGTAGTTTCGGTTAATTTTCCAAAACAAATGTTACGGCTACTGTCGCGTACCATGTTTCGACAACGGAACACTCGCAGCAGAATTTTCTTCTATTTAGGAGCATTGCGTCGTATGCCGCGAATGGAGGGGCATCATTTTAAATGGGAGCCCTCCTTCCCATTGAACATTATGCACTCTTTTTTATATATTCCAGTGTGGGGATTGTTACGATTCTCGGCTTGTTTGATTTGGGGGCTTTTATGGATATCTTTCTTTCAATTACTTTGGTAAGATTTCCGCTTCACTTGCACATTTTTAGCACTGTATTGCGAAAGGGGGGATAGAAGATACAGGGGGTTATGTGGATTAGATTTTTCAGCTGGCACTTGAATTTTTTTCGTTGAACACTTGCACATGCACTTTATATGGAACCTTTTGCATTGTGATTCCCACATGATTTGACTCTTCTTCTTCCGAATTTACTTGATTTTATTTAGCTCCGTGTTACTTTTTCACTTATGCCAATTTGCCTTAATTTAGCAACTAAAAATACGCTTTTAATTTAATTCAACTAGAGCAATTTAAATTTATTGAAATTTCAATGGGCCCCAAGATGTGTTCTCTTCTTTTTGCCTCAATTTAAGCGAGGAATACGGCATGTACTAGATATATAAAGATAAACTCCTTGTATAGGGCCATTTCCTCTGCAACAATACGAGTGCGAGAAGGTGGAAAATGGGAACATGGAACAGCGACGTCGGCAGCGCGTTATTATAATCCCCACCCCCCGAAAAAGGGGGTTGGAGGTACAGCATGTTAAAATTCCATGCACTAAAGAAGCATGGAAACTACAAGAACAACACACACACTCGCGCTTTACGTAGAAGTTTGGCAACGCCGCCACGAAGCGCTATCTCGCTCGCCCTCGTTCTGCCCCGCTGCGGGCTGGCGTGAAATGCGGCAACGTCGCTTTGTTTGCTTATAATTGACGTTTGCCGTCTGACGTGGTTGTTAGAGCGAGACAGCCAGCTGTTGTTGCTGCTTCAGCGCACAAAATACATAGGGTGTTTGGGTTTGTGTGCGCGCTATGTACTTACGAGTACATAAAGAATTTATAGCTGGTACTTTTTCTCGTACATGGAAAACGAGTATCTCTCGGCTGTGTATTTATAAATGGCTATGTGGTCATGTGGTGCGCTTCTTTCGCTTTGTTGTTGCACGTTCCTCCATAATTCGTGTAGTTTTGTAGCTCTAAATCTCCTACGTATTTTCTTTTGGGGCGCAGCAGGAAATCACCCATACAGCCCTGAGTTTCCCTGTGTGTGTGTGTGCGAGAAGCTGTTCGACAAGAATGCCTATGTGCGTCTCGCTCTAACGCATAGGATTGACCCCATCGGTGGCGTGAAAGTTTCTTCGCCGCCGACGGCGCTACTGCGCCGCTCAGCCAAAACTTGGGGCCGCAGAGCTACGCGATTTCAGTCGCTTTGTAGAATTGGTGGGGTGCGGCTCGCAAAAAATCGAGATTGAAGGGCCCACACACAAAAAGGGCCAGCTAATTTGGCAGCCAAATAGGATGGATCATCCCAGCACAAGGCTAAATTTCTCCCTGTGTGCTCGGCGTTCTTCTGTTTTCTTTTTCGGTTCGCCATTTTGTGGTCGGGATTTTTCAGCCTTTCTTCTCTCCAGAAGATGAAAACCCCCATTAAAGCCAGGCGTTTTAACTAGAATTAATGAATATTGGCAGCAGCAGCGAAAAGAAAACCAGTTTTAGTATGTATTTAGTTTAGTATCTGCTATTCGTTTTGTGGCTACGTGACCACACACCAACAGCATGTGCCAGAAAGAGAGCGCTAACTTTGTAGTTTTTCTCTCCCCAACCTCTCACACACACAGGGGTTCTCTATGCGCACGCACACCAAACGGGTTAAGCAAGAAAAAAAAAAAGGTTTTACAGCATCGCTCCGTCCCGCTCGCACACAGCAGCTGAATCGATTTTTCAAGCGACACGACAATTTCTCTCCACCACTTCGCCCAGCTGGCATCTCGCTCTGACTCGCGCAGCAGCGGCAGCCCCCTCCCTTTCGCTCTTCTGCGTTGTTCGTTTTTGTAGTTTGGAGCCCGCGCGCACACACGCAGATATTTATATACGGTTTATATATAGTCGCCATGTTACTTTTTCGTACGATGGGGGAGCTGTCAGCCTGGATTTTTCGCTACAAATTTCCAACGTCTCTCTTGCTGCCTCTGCTGTGGCCGCTGTCGCGGTCGACGTCGTTATTCCCAGCCCGTTGCACGTCATCCGTTTTTGGTGTGCGTGCGTATGTGTGTGTGTATGTGCTTTGAATTTCTGATGAAATTCTTTGCTTTCGAGTTAATTGCTGCCCGCCGTCGGCAGCAAAGCCTCTGCCGCTGCCTCTGCCGGCGTCGCTGCCACCAAGCTCACATTTTTTGTTGTGCCATTTTCTTTGTACTGGTGTACTGCCAATTGCTATAGCCGCTCGAAGAAGAGGAAGAACTTTCCGCTCTGAACTGGGAATTTCGGGGAATATTGGGCGATTTTTAAACACGTTTTTAGCCTGACTTTTCGAGCTCTACAAAACTTGTCTCTTTCTATCTTGATATTTTCTTTTCTGTACAAAACAAAATCAAAATATCGCATAAATTTAGTATTATTTGTGATATTTTCTTCATTAAATAGCATTAAAAATAACTGAACTAAGAGCTTTGTCGCACACAATTTTTTACACTTTAAGAAACTAACTTTAAAACACATATTTGCTTTCGAAGACAAAGATTTTCAAATGTATTGAGAACACATTTTTGGTTTTAAATTTGTTATACAGCTTTTTAGTTGCTAGACTTCGGGACTGTTTTTGAGTTACATTTCTTTGAATTTTATGTTTAGGATTTTCAATAATATTTAAACTTTTTAAACACTGATCCGAATTTGAAAAATTAAGGCGTTATCCAATCACGTTTATTGTGGTTAACAATTAATTATACGCTTTATTTGATTTTTCATCGGTTTATCCGTTCTTACCATTTGCGTTGATAGCTGCAATGAAATGGGGGAAAGGAATACTTTATTCATATGTCGTTTTTCTCGAAATCTACAACATTGATCTTTTCCTGAACTGAAAATAAATAGCCCGTGTTGAGTTACACTTTTTATGAAAGCATGAGTTCAGGCTGAAATGGTTTTGGGGAAGAAATTCATTTTATATTCAAGTCCAAACCCTAATAAACAATAAAAATAATTGATTTCCTTTTGGATTTATTACAAAAAACATAAAACTTATTAAATATATCCTATTTAACAAAAGTGTGACCATTTAACTACGAAATAAAACAAATTCTTTTGTTAAAAATTCAATGTGTTTATGCGAAGTGTTTTCATCTTCAACTGGTAGTTTTCCTACTACAGACCAAGAAATAAATGCTTTCTGCACTACTTACACCATTGGAGCGGCTTTCCTTGGCTGATCATCGGATCCTTTATCGCTGGCTCAGTAGTACATTTATTATAAACCCGTTTTGCACTGTATTCGAAACTTGCGCATTTTACTGATTGGATTTCGAGGCAATAGCTCACGTTTTGTTGCTCTTTCGAAAACTTCCAAAGAAGGTAACGACGCGCCCGTTAAGTTCTGCCTTTTCTGCGTACCGAACCGAAAAAACCGATCCGAGTCCAAATGCACCGATTCGAATTTTACTGGGTGTATTTTCTGTTATTTTTTCGTGTATTTATGCACTCCGGATTTTGGGGTGACTTTTTACTGCGAACTCCTGCGAATTGCATTCGACAGAAAAAGCATCACAAAATTGAATTGGAAACAATAAAAAAATTAAATTTTTATCATTTATTGGGCTCTGTGTTGTTGCTCGATCTCCATTTGCTTTGCCTCTGTTTTTGTTTTTATTTTATTTTTATTGTATTTGCATTTGTGGTAACTCTTCTTTCTCTCGCTGTTGTTGCTGTTGCTGCTGCATCTGCCGTGGTATTGGTGTAATTAATGCACTTTCGCACGCAAACACACTCGCGCACTCACACACACAGATATCCGCCGATGGTCGCACACACACTGAGAGGGGAGGGGGTGGGGCACTTTCAGATAACAATAATAATAATTTTTTCGCTGTGTGTGTTTTGGCGGCGTTTTGTTTAACCGCCCCGCCGCCGTTGTTGTACTGCTTTTTTCCGCTGCGTACGACGCGCGCGATCCGTTCAGTCCGAAATTTTTTTCAAAACAATTAGAGACGGGGAACCGTCGATGGAAACGCCGATGTTTTCATCGATGCATCGATGTTTTTAAAATTTTTAGAAACATCGATGTTTTTGGCGAATATCGATGTTTTTGACAAATCCCTAAAAATTAAACGTTAGTGTGATTAAACGTAAGCAAACGTAAGTGGGATTAAAACAAACGTAAAGAAACAATTTATTAAGATGGAATAGGGTCGACAGAAAATTAAATAAAATTCGAAATTTTAGAAACACCGATGTTTTTGTAGACAATTTGTACTCTTATTGCAAATAAGAGAAGTTGCCTTCCGGCCATATTATTTGTGAATCCAACCAAAAGTAAGTGGGATCAAACGTAAGCTAACGTACATAAGCAGGATCAAACGTAACGAACAGTTAGAGATGGGGAAACCATCGATGTTTTTAGTTTTTTTTGAAACATCGATGTTTTTGGCGACTATCTATATTGGCGCCCTCTGGCGTTTTAATTTTAAAGAAAAGAAAGCGCCCTCTGGCCTAAAAATTTTGGAGACCAACAATCTGGCCAAAACGTAAGTGGGACCAAACGTAAAAGAAACAAGAAAGGAAGACAACTTCGGCAAGCTGAAGTTTATATCCTTTCAGGTCGTTGTTCCTGTGGGCGCAATACATATACTCAGCTTATAGAATTAAAACAGAATCCTATGGGAGCTACATAGTTGTCCGATCCAGCTCCTTCCGACGACGGACAGACGGACATAGCTAGATCGATTCGATTAAGAATATATATACTTTGTGGGTTCGGAAACGTACGGAATCGGAGAACGAGGTGAACGAATTGAAAAAAATGTTCTGGAACTGCCACTTTGATTTAGAAATCAAGACCACTACCGACTTGGCTTGGAAGAAGTCAGACTCTCAGCCCTGGCCAACCCCACCAGTTATCGTTATCGCGGCCAGCAGCTTGTTTTGTTTTGCTTACACGACAGATAAATAAAACTGGTGAAAACCACTACTATACTCTAAAAATGAGTAGTTTAAAGTCGGACTTGGACGAGTACCTGCTCCTGCAGAGTGATCAGAAGAAAACCTTTAACGTTAAGCTGCCACAACTCAAGGTTCCCTTTTTCCGTTCGGAGCCAGAGGCAAATAGTTTCCTGAAGGATACCGACTCGTGCTTTCCAAAATTGGTAGGCATAATGACTCTGGGGTGTTCAAGAACTTGTATACAACTAATAAATCTATATCCTCTTTCAGTCACGACTGCAGCGAATTGTTGGGTTTGTGGCCTGTTTGGGAATGGGTGCACTCTGCATGACGCTTTCCACATTCTACATTCCCGTCTTAATATTGAAAGCCAGAAAGTTTGCCCTGCTCTACACCCTTGGCAGCCTCTTCTTCATCCTGAGCTTCTGCTTCCTCTCCGGATTTGGCTCCTTTCTGAAGCAGATGTTCTCCAAGCCCCGCTTGCTCACCTCAATTTCCTATAGTTCCTGTCTGCTTTTGACTTTGTACTGTGCGTTGGTGGCCAAGAGCACCGCATTCACTGTTCTGTTCGCAGTGGCACAAATTATCGCTTTGCTCTTTATGATTCTGGGCATGGTCCCCGGGGGAGCTACGGGTCTCAAATTCTTCGGACAACTCTTTAAGAGCAGCGTTTCTGCCTCAGCGAGCGTACTGCCAGTGTAAAAGGAGGAAAGGCTGAACAAAGAAAATCATCCACCACCGCAGCAACGAAAAGTAACTTATTTAACTCATTGATAAATTTAAAATAAAACTTATTTGTGATACAACGCCTCTCAAATTTACAGTACTTGTTTATTTGCGGGTCTGAGTCATTAACGTTTACTTTCCCCCTTATCAGCAATTTGCATGTAATAAAATCCACATCATGTCGACTTTAACGAGGCTTTTTGAAAAATGCAATGCCACGTTTAGATTTGTTAGTCGTAGTTATTATGGCTCTATTTAAAAAGTGCCTTACTTTTCATTTTCAAAATAGACTTAGAGGTTTACAAAGATTTATTGACAGCAAGCCTAGCGGATGAGAATTGATTGATAGAGTAAATATCAAGAAATTTTCCATCTCTGCAAAAAGTTACCTGCGTTTCAATGATGTGTCTCAGAGAGAAGCAATCCTCTCACTCTTTGTGTTAATCAACGGTCATTCTTCTATCTCTCCCAGATACAAGGTCTTATCGCTGGAGCCTGAGAGAATGAGCGGCTCCTTTGGGCTAAAGTCCACGTCATTAACACTGCCATTATGTCCGGGCAGTTTGTACAGGATTCTCCTTGTGTTAACATCCCAAATATAAACATGTCGATCGGCGGAACCCGAGGATATTTTATCGCTACCGGGGGACCAGGCGCAGCGCAGCAGATTCTTCTCGAAGTTGTGCTGATGGCCCTGGAAAACCTTCACACATCTTTCGCCAGGCGCATAGGGTCTCACGTCCCACACCCTCAAGGTGTTGTCCATGGCATTTGTCAGGACAAAGTCTCCCTCGGGCGACAGGGACATTCCGGTAATCGTATCGGAGTGTCCTCGCAGGTGATGCAAGACCGCCTGTTTTCGTATATCCCAGATCTTCACTTCGTTGTCGATCCCACCGCTGATCACTTGTTCTCCAGTGTCACCAAAACAAACTGCGGTGACCTGGAAGGGAGACTCTAAAGTGTGTGCGGCGTGTTTCTTTCTGGCGTCCCAGATCTTTATGGTACGGTCATCGCTTCCCGAGCAGAGAAGCTGCTGGCCCCTTCGCGATCCCTGCACGCTGTTCACAAAGTTTCCATGACCCTTGAACCGCCGTTGCCGCTGCCCCGTGACTATATCCCACAGACATAGGCTTTTGTCCGTTGAGCAGGTAAAAATGTGCGAGCCATCCTGCGTGAAGTGAGCTTCCATCACAGCGCCAGTGTGTCCCGACATGGCCATAACATTCTCACAGTCATCGTACACCTGCCAGATGTCTAAAAAAAAAGTACATTTTAATTGTTACATTTGTCTACTACCAAGACTTCAAATACCCAATAATAAAGAGTAGTTCGCGGGCTAGACTGTACATAGCCATTTCAAATAAATAAAATATTGTCGTCAAACCGTTCTATTGTTACTTTACTAATCTACACATTTGGAACCTTGTACTTTGTGCTTTAAAGATTGTGAGTTTAAAGGATATAGGCACTGACTCAAGTTACCATTATGTTATTGCAGTCCTCCCCCTTACTTACATATTTGCCTATCGAACCCGGAGGAAAGCAGCAACTCTCCCTCTGGATGGAATTCCGCTGTGAAAATCTCGCCTTCATGCCCTTCCAGCTGCATTATGGGTGCCTGCAGGTTTGAGGTACGCCTCACGCCCTAGAAAATATGATAGTTTACGAAATTAAAAAAAAACTTATGGGGAACTGAGGTTGCTTCTTCTTGCCAGCACGCTTACCGATTCAAGGAGCGCTTTATCCCGATTTGTGTATGCCACCAAATCGCTTTTGCTCCGCTTTGCCTCCTGGGCCAAAACCACGCTGTTGTTGGGTCTTTTTGTGCCCATTGTAGTGGTTTTGTTTGTAAAAGTATAATAATCAAACTTGTTCACCAGCAAAATAAACCGTGTTTGCAGAGTGACCACAGCTTTACAAAATACCACTGCTCGCGTATGTAAATATCCTAAAAAACATACTGTCGAATGTAGTGCCGAAAATTGGCCTAGTTTGGAGGCGAGTTGGCAACTCTGCTAACAATACCGAAATATACAAAATCCTGTTTAATTTTCTTTATTTTTACACAATTTGCTGCTATTCAATATGGAATTACCCAATAATTAGGTTCTCCGTTTAATAGGCATCAACGCGTGGAGGATCCGCAAAGAATTCCTGGCCCTTGCGCTCTCCCTTTAGCCACTGCTTGTAGCGCTCGTTTCTCATGGCCTAAAATGCAGATTTTATGCTCATATAGAACTTCGTAATGATATGCAACATATCGAAAACCTACATGGAAACGCATTAGCTGCTTCTGCATGCCCACGCACTCCTGGAAGTCGGAGATCAGGTCAGCGCACTCACGCTTTCCGCGCTCCAGGCCGTACGCCTCGAAGCACTCCATCATCTTCATCTCGAACTTGCCGCATTTGTCGTAGGTCTGGTGGTTAATCAGGCAACCAGTCAGATCCGTTAGGGGCAGGCGTAGAAAGGGAGTCAGCGACATTTTGTCTGGGGGTGAAATCCAAGCAAATTTAGTAAACTTGTGGCAGCTTTTTTAGCACTCTGCTATGTGACGTAACAATAAACAAAGGCTCAAAGCCCTGTTTCACGCTCCAATTAAAAATCGTTTGGCCTCAAAGAGCCCTTCGCGTATTCTAATCAAAGTCTAGCACACCTTGATTTAAATGCACACCTTATAGTTCTGGCAATCCGCAATAAAAACAACTATATTGTGTTTTTATAATTTTGTGACTCGAGACCAGTGTGACCATACGAGTCGAACGATTGACAGCTGACAGCTGACGGTGTTGGTTAGCGCGCGAACCGCTCTCCACGTTTTGTTTATAAATTTGTTTTTACGAGGAGATATGAAAAACCAGGATTTAGTGGAATTCTTGAGGACCAGCGGAGTGTGCGAAGTCTGCCAACTGCGTTACCTCAAGGCCAGGGGCACCGAGTACAGGGACGTCAAAGAAACACTGCAAAAGGTGAGGAAACTGTTCGCTTGAAATTTGTTGACATCTAACAAATGGTCGACTTGTTCCCTTTAATTGCCCAGCTGGATGTAAAACTGAATGGAAATGTGGAAAACAAAGAAGGAAACGAAGATCAACCCGCTAAGAAAGCCCGCCTAGGCGTTTGTACCACATGTTTGGGGCTGTTCTCGAGGGACTTTCAGATGGAGCTTCTCGAAGGCATCTTGGCCTCGGACTTCGCCAAATACGACTGCCAGAAAATTGTTTTGGCCATATGTCTGCCCATGTCGCTGCAGTTGAGGCAGCTGGCCATGTGGTTTGCCCTGCAGAGGAAATTTGGAGCATCCGTAGACAGTAGCAATCCTCCAGATGTGCCCATAAAAGAGGCTGTTAAGCTGATTCTGCACCCCATAATATGCGAAAAGTTGGCAAAGGAGTACGACGCCAATGGGCTGATGATCAATATAGATCTCACGCACAAGCTGGAGGACGAGGAGGTGGAAAAACTGGTGAAATTAAACAAGGAGGCCTTTCCCGCCAAGGCTGCGTATCAGAAACGGATTGAAATTTCGAGAGGTTTACTTGAGAAACAGTACCAACCGTCTAAAGTGAGAGCGGAAACCTTTGAGAAATATTTCCAGATACCTGGCTCGACCGTAGAGGAACCCCTGAAGCTTACATCCATAGATCTGCAGGGACCCCTGGTCTGTGTGGCTGGCAGATATCGGAAGTTGAGCCGCGAACTCTCGCATACTCCCTGGATATTGAATGGCCAAAGACTGATGGAGGACAGTATTGAGGAAATCATCATCAGGCATGTGGGTCCCCATTTCACAGAGAAGCTGGATAAAATCACCTTTATGTCGAGTGGTAGAGAAGACGTGGACGTCCGTTGTTTGGGGAAGGGCAGACCTTTTGTCTTGGAAATACCGAATGCCATACGGAGTTGCTTGAGCAAAGATCAGGCCTTCAAGATGGAACAGGCTGTGAACGAATCTGGAAAAGTGTCCATACTTCACTTACAAGTCGTGGCCAGAGACGAACTAACACACATCAAGACTGGGGAGGAACAGAAAAAGAAATTCTATCGCGCTCTTTGCGCTCTGAAAGAACCTGTTTCAGTGGAGATCCTGGAAAAATTGCAAATATCAGTTTGCTTTGACATACAGCAAAAGACTCCAATCCGAGTTCTTCATCGTCGTCCCTTGCACACGCGACCCAGAACGATTTATAGTGTTAAAGCTAAGGTACAGCGGGGGAATCCCAAAGCATTGGTCATCGATATAGTCACTCAAGCGGGCACTTATATAAAGGAGCTAGTTCACGGCGAATTTGGCAGGACCGCCCCGTCATTGTCCTCGATCATAGGCAAACCCATCGATATTCAAGCTCTGGATGTTGTGGGAATCGATTTGAATTGGCCACCCGAGGTGGACAATGCGATACATACGGAGTAGCGATATTAGTTTAAAGTGTTCCCTATAAATGCATTTAATTGTTAAATGTTAAAAGCTTAAGGTGATAAGTACAACTAAGAAAAGATAAATAAAAGTAATCTTTCCGCCTACGAAAATATCGAAAAAGTTGAATAGAAACTTTAACGACACGCTTTTCGAGGTGAAACTTGGAAATCGGCATCGGGATCGAAAACGTAAAAAACTTATATATAATGGGCTAAAGAAATTTGACCAGCAGTATTACATTTTGTAATCTTGATATATGTAACAATTAAACCACAAACTTTGAGTTGCTCTTGCTGTCTTTCCAGCGGAAGCCAGATTTCGATCCTTGTAATCTTGATATATGTAACAATTAAACCACAAACTTTGAGTTGCTCTTGCTGTCTTTCCAGATACTAATTCGAAGCCAGATTTCGATCCTTAAATCAAGTTTCCTAATAAATTGCATTGGGCTGAGAAATGGTGCCAGAACAAAAAGCTGACATGCGCAGTTGACAAATTTTGGAGCCGAATTGGATGTTCTCGGAACAGCCAAGTTCTAGCATTGGCTACAAAAGTAGTTAGCAAGCGGACAAATTCGGCATTCGTTGCTAGCCAGTCGAACTGTTTTGTTATGGTCAAGTCAAGTGAATAAAAATCGAAGAAAATGGAAAAAGGCCGAAAGTAGTGGCAGGACATTTGCGACCGGATGCAAGCGTGCGTGACAATTAAAAATTAAAGCCGAGTGAATAAGCCGGAGGCAGTTAGTTAGATAATTGCAGTTGGAGCCGGGAGGCAGTCCAGTATGTTCTTTCGGCGCGTTTTGGAACGAAAGGATAGCGCCAGCAATGCGCCGCTCCCTATAACGACCACGGATAGTCCGCAAGTGCACTACAACAGCGAGGACAACGAGAGTGTCACTTACGTGAATAGTGCCGTCGACAGTGAAGTCAAGGACAGCAATAACAACCAGTCGGTGGTCGGTGTGGGTGGTGCAGTGCCCGCTGCGATGAAAATTCTGCGCCGGGAGGCCCCCATCGGTGCAGTGCAGCTGACGCCGTTGTGGGAGCACATTCTCCGCACTCGTCGCCTTCCGGAATCCATTTTCCCTAGCGCCATGTTCGCCGAGTTCCATGAGCGCCTGCAGGATCCGGAGTGGCAGGTTCGGCAGCACGCCCTTCGAGTCCTGGTCGATGTCCTTGTGGTGATGCAAGACGAGGCCGATGGTCACATGGAGCGGGAACAGCTCATTGGTTTGCTGGTGGAGAACCTAGGCCATCAGGCGCCAACTGTTCGAAAAGGGGCCCTCGATTGCCTGCGAGTCTATCTAGCAGAAACAGCAATTCCGGAGACAGTCATGTTGGGAATCCTTGACGCCGGCCTGACGAAGCAAGCTCCTGCGGAAGTGGAGCACATGGGTCGTCTTAGCTGCGGGGTTCTCCTATCCCTGCCGGCCCTGCTACAATCTACTATGCACACTCCCCAGAGACACCGCATCGCACTAAGCACTCTGGAACGAGTGGCTCAGCACATGGATCAACTGGCCCAACAGGAAATCACTTTGAAGGTCTTAACCAAGATCAGAGAGCTCTTGGGGGTGCACGAGTTCGAAGGCATTCTGAGTGATGTTGGTCGCGGCGACGCTCTGACCAATTATTATCAACTTTGTCAGGTTTACGGCGTTTCTGGAAAGCCGAAAAGAGGCGGCGAGGTAAAAGCGGGAGCATGGCGTGCATTACCGCGCGAACAAGGTTGGAGAAACAGCACCGCCCTGCAAGGCCTGGACACTTCGCACCACATCCAGCCAAACTGTCCGGACAAGGGAAAGGTAATAATGGAAACGGAGATCAAGATCAACGATGACACAGTGACCATGCGCATTCTGGAGGCGGATACCGAGACCGAAGAATCCGACAGCCCAGCTAGAAATTGTTCAAAGGACGAGGATCTAGTTTGTCATCCCCTTTTGTCCAGCGCCAACAGCCACCAAGCGCTCGTTGGAGCGGGTATTGTGCAGGTTATAAGCGATTCAGAATTGGACGAACCGCACGCTATAAAACCCGTCAGTGTTTCCGAGCCGAGTACTCCCTCTCGGGGCCTAAAGCGAGTCACCTTTGGGGGAGAGATTGTTAAGATGCGAACTCCCGATAGCGATGCAGCCTCCTCGACGAACAATTCCCGAAGCCCTGGTCAGGCCAATCAAAGTGTCACTATTCTGTCGTTGGGCGAAACACCGAGCCCTCCATTGGAGGAGTTGCAACCTCTAAGACCCGCTGGCGACAAAAGAACTACGGCTCTAGTGGTGGAGATTCCTTCGGACAATACCCAGCCCTTGCCTCCAGCACGACCCTTTAGCTCACAGTCGCCACGGCATCAGAGCCACACGCCCAGCGATCCTTCCTCGAGCAGTCCCCGCAAACGGCAGGAGGCCGACGGAAGGTTGTCGCCATCACCACGATCTCCAGGATTCCGCAGCCGCAGCACCAGTCCGACTGGGAGCAACAACATTAGCCCCAAAGTGCCGCACAAGCAAATCGAGGTTCTGCACAATCTGCAGCGCGATCCGTCTCCACGGTCTCAGCGTCGTTTGGAGGACTTGGGTGGGGATGTGGATGGGGATGGGGATAGGGAAGCCCACCCTGTGGCAGGAAATCCCTCTGACTCACCGACAGAGCTGCGGAGAACTAGAACCGCCTCTATAATATCTGCAGAGTCACCAGCCACCCCAAAGTCGTGGGAGGATCTGGACATTGTCAACTTTAAGACGCTGATGGATCTGCGATCTGGGGTAAGTTCCAGCCAAGTCGCTGTAATTGCAATAAAATTAGTGGCCGACATTTAGCAATCCCCGTGTAATTGCACTCCGCCACCCAAAACTGCCGAATGGGCTGCCTTGTGCGACCGAAAATAAAGCAATGAAATTACACCACACGCTAGCCAACGGTGGTTCCGGGTCGCCCGGCGCTTTGGGCTCTAACTGGGTCACTAGGATATGTACAATTTCATATGCGTTCATAATTCTGCCCTCATAATGGCAGCCGCCCGGCTTTATTGCGGACGAGACACGCATCACTCCTCCCCCAGTAGGAATTGCCATTACAGGTGCTATTATATCGCCGGCGACCTCTTGCTTGCTAATGAAAATTTCAGCGATAACGACCACTCCTCTCCTGGCCTACCCTCATATCGGTGACTATAGAAAACAAAGCCGGCTAGCGCCAAGCCACTGTACCAATGACCTATTAATTTTTTGACGTACGTATGTACGGTTCAACGGAAAATAGTTGGATGTATTTTTACATGTCGAACTCTTCTCATAAATAATAGCCAATGAGGTTAGCCTTTCGAGAAACTCACTCGAAGTAATCAAAAATGGTATGCCAAAATTTTACAAAAAGGAAGAAAATTGAAGAAAAAGTGCGTCTGCAGAATAAATTGTGATGTAACAATACTCAGGGTGGCACTTGCTGGTTCAGATGTGCCCCTTATCAGAACCAACTTTTTGAGTGGTGCACAAAAAACTTGGGATTCCGGTGGCAGTTGCATGTTGAGCGGACTGGGTGTTGCATTGGATTGGGTTGTTTTGCTCGGAGCTGCAGCCGAGTACAAGAGTTCTGGCCGGTCAATCATTTAAGTGCACGCGATTTTCATAGCACCAGGCACAAAAACAAGAGCAAGAACAGTACCAAGTGCCCAGCTTGCAACTCGTATGGGACGATAAAGTGGCAGGACCACCATTACTGAACGATGTTTGATGAAGACGCTGGCCGTGGGGAAGGGATCAGGGCATAGAGCGTGTCAGGAACTGGGTCATTCGAAGCACAAAAATATAAATAACATTAACCGAAATTATAGCGCGTACTAAATAAAAGAAGGAAGGTACGCCATTGTCGACCGCTGGCTTCTTAGTCTTATACTTGCTTGGTACGACACCTTAAAGATTTTAATTTTTAATTTAAGTGTCCTTTTCCCTAAGGTAGAGACTGAAGGGGACCAGTCTTGGAGGATTATTTTAGTTAATACTTTCTTCATTTACCACTTAAGAGCTGACTTAGTTTCTGGAGAGATATACCAATTGCTAATAATTTTATTTTCTGATCGAAATTGTTAAAAAATATTTATTTTAAAAAGGACAAGGTTGCACGCAAAGGCAAATAGAGTGTTATAAATCTTGTAAAGTTTTAAAGAGCTTGATAAAAATTCGTATTCATTATTTGGTCTAGCAAGTTCTTGATTTCGAGTATATTTTACCAAATAAATTAAATTGAATGACATTTATGGCACATTCAGTTAGTTGCTGTAGAGGACTCTACACTGAATTTCCAGAAATAATTTCTGAGGCATTCATTTTCAAGTTGTCTCATTTAGCTCAAACAGACCATAAAACACTAGCCACGCCAAAATGTACTTACCCGTACTTATTTTTTCACTCGAAGGATTGGCGCAATCGTCTAATGGGCATCGCCCAACTGGAGCTCGCCCTGAGCTCGTCGAGCAACTTGGCCATCACACTACCGTACCTGGATAGTCTGCTCAGAACCCTCCTCTCGTCCGAGCGTCACTTCGATGTGTCCGAGTTGAAGCGCGAGTTGCTAGTTAACCTGATCTCACGACTGCCCCTGGACAACTTGGAGGAGCGCACACCGCAGATCCTGACGGGACTGTGTCGCCAGGGCAATGCTGGAGCGAACCGAGTCTGCAAGGCCCTCATGCAGCGCCTCCCCGCTGGCACCATTGTGGCAAAGTTGACATCACCAGAATTCCTGCACGCAAAGAGTTCAAAGGTATGTAGATGAGTTAGGTTCGTTGAAAATACCAGAGTTTAAATTTTACTTACCGTAGTTTCGGGACCATGCGCTTCAGGTGTCCATCTTCGCCCTGATGACCTTTCCGGGCACTTGCTTCGACATCAGCCTCCTGACGGCTCAGACCGTATACTCTTTGCTCAATCGCAAGCGACGCGTGCGACAGGCGGCCCTGGAGGTGCTGGCAGTGCTTGCCGATATCTCATCCATAAACGAGGTCCTAGCTATTGTCTCGGAGACGACCGCCGGCGTGGAACTTGGACCCCAAGTGCTGGAGGCGGCAAGTGTGCGCCTCTCGCGCATGCAGCTGCCCATTGTCACGCCCGACAGTCGTGTGCTCTTTGCTTTTAACCAGAATGATCAACCTGGATCCAGGCGTTCTGGAGCAGATGTGGACTGGATCTATCAGGGGGAGGGCTCCGCCTCGCCAAACACCATTAAAAGGCGGCGCATGCGGGCTGCAACCAGTCAGCGCGACGTATTGGAGAGCACGGAGGCAAAAAACAAGAAGGATGGGTTCCACAGGTAGGATAATTATCGTTTCCTTATCATAACTAAAAAGATAAGAAGGAATAATTAAATTGTGGTTCACAAAAAGCTCATTTTATAAGCATACGATTATTGAAATGCGATCTCTCAGTTTCAGCCAGGTTAACGAGGGCCTGCACCGCCATTCCTTCCACTCTCCCCCAGAAACTTTGGACATGACTAGCCCCACAAATGTGAGTAAAACGCATTTGCGTATTTCTTCTTAATGCTAAATGTTATTCTACCTAGGACTTTTCGCAAAGATTAAGTTTTGGCGCTAAGACTAATAATGGTGAGTGGCCCCTAATATTACTTTAATATATCCTACATTTCCGAAATTTTTATTCGTAGGAACTCATTCCTTTATGGACCGTCGCTTGGTGGCCAAGGCGTGCTCTGACACTTCCATGGATGGGCGAAGTACTGACAGCACGACCACCACCTGCAGCAGTGGAAGCGCCACAAGCAGCTTCATCCAGCTCACATCCCGCACCGGTGGTCAGTTTTCCGGAGCCAACTCAAGGTTTGTAGTCTTTGAACTGCAGGCACTTGCCTGATAACAATAGAGCTATCGTTGTTCCCCACAGATTTCCCGCCATGAACCAACATACAGACTTCGTGAACAATTTTATGCGGAGCATGCAGCGCAGCACCAAATCCTACTCCGTGGAGGGACCGGCATACCCCAAGGTCAGTTACTCGATCCCGAAGTCCCACCAGATGCCTCGCGGAAAACTCCAGCACCAGCACTCTTTCACAAAGGCGCGATGCAATGCAGCTCCGTGTCAAGGTAAGGATCGCTTTTGTGGTCAACCTGTCCATTTTTACGCTATCTCGGTAACTTTGCATATAGGCTTTGAAAATGGCAGATTGAACGAGTCCCCGGGGAGACACCAGAGCAACATTTCCGCAGACCACCTGGACACCGAGTGCGCCGACGCCGCAAAATCAGTGTAAGTGTCGACTCCATATCTCAATTAAGGGACCGGCATCGGAGCCCATTCATCCAAGCGCCACAATGATTTACCCCTGCCTGGCACAAATGTTAACCTACATTTGAACACCCCGCTCAGACACACATATTCGAGTACGACTGGGGTAAAAGTTAAAGGGGCGAATTCTGGTCAGCGAATTTAGTTGTCGCCCCGGCCGGCACACGCACCTCCTCACAATATTAAAGGCATTAAAGGTGTTGGGTTGCTTAACCTAAATAATTCAAATGCGCAGTGGAAACCGCGTTGGTGAAATTCTAGAATGTGGCTGGGGACATCGGTCAACGTCACGAGCGACAAACCTTCAAGTGACCACTGGCGATTCGACCCGAATCCATTTTGGTTGTTAGTTAATTTTACTGCTAAGCTAATACTGAGAAAGATTTAAGAATCAAGAAATTGATTTTCATCTGCATATATGGATATTTTAGTGTCTTGAGTGTGAATTGTTTTGCAAAAGCAACTAAAGAGTTAGTAGGCGATGTAATACATTTTCCAGACGGTCAAATTTTGGTCATCCAAGCTTTTAACACATACCTTTAAAGTTCTCGTGGGGATATGGCAACTTGTTGTATTGCCGACTTCGTGACTTTCCACGATGAAACGAAGGAGTCCGAAGATGACTAAGCGGTGCTTGTATAGAATCCGGAACGCCTTGCGGCAAATGCCACTGCTCGGCGAAGACCTGTGGCCAGTTAGCTTGGACGTTCGTTGTTGGTTAGCGCTAGTCCATCCCACGACCTTTCCGCGGCTTTGGCTTAACACCCTGTGGGTGGGCGGGGGTTTTAACCGTTTGGTGTGTGGTCGTGTGATTGCTTGGAAAACGCAATGTCCTGTTTTTCGTTTGCAACTTTGGCTTGTTGGTTCCCGGTATGGAAATTCATTTGAAGTGGCCAAAACGACTGGCGACGAGCATTGCAAACAGTCAGTAAAGTCGCGTTGCTTGTAGTGGTCGCCAATTGCGGTTTACTTGAGAATGTGTCGTGGTGCCCAGTAGAAAATAGGCAGGATAATTGTCCAATTGACTGACTCTGAAAAATGCAGAATGCGTTTTCCTGTGGTGCGCAGCCCTCTGATCTGCTGCGTAGGACACGTATTTTTTTCCACTCTGTTAGGGTATGCATCTGCCACAGAGCCACGGAAGCTCACTCCACACTCCGCGGGGCTCTTTGTGGTCACAGTTCGGTCTGCGGCACCTGCTGCACCGACAGGGCTCTGGAGTCCACAAAATCGATGCAAATTGATACAGAAAGCCAGCTGGTCGATGATAAGTCCACTTTTGCCGTGTTTCGGCCACCGGCAGATACTGAAAAAGACATTGTTTATGCCGAGTATGTTGAGTTGTATGTCGTTAGAAAATTGTAACAAATATTTACTAACCAGAAATTCTATTCTCTGCTCCCACATAATAGGGAAACACCGAGGGCAGTTCAGCCCTTGGAAACGGCGGTCAAAGACATGACAGACGGCTCTCCCCTCTCCGTAAGGTCCACCAGCTATTCGCAAAAGTCGACAGCCTCGGCGAAGTCGAGTGGCAGCCAAAGCGAGATGGGCAAGCGGTCATCCTCATCCACTGGGGACGGGAACGAGTCAAAGATGGAATTTCTGAACCGTCAGCAGGATCCTGTCGAAGCCTTTGGGGAGTTGGTGGTGGACGACATTGAGGACGAGACGGAACCTCCTGCCCATGAGGAGTCGCTTAAGCTGAACGGAAGCGTAAACAGCCTTCACAGCAAAACGGAGAGCATCAAAACTCAGCTGGAGGACACTACACCGCAACTTTCGCGAGCTCAGTCAGTGAAATCTCTGCCCATCGAGGAGGACATTGAGGGCAGCAACAGTTTCGTGGTAGTCGAAGAAGTACAGCACGAGCTGGAGTCATCGGCTCCGGAGACGACGCCTGTAAAGGAATTGCAGGAGCAGGTAGTAGCACCAGCAGATGTTACAAAGCTGGATGTTACAAACCATACCTTTGGCCCTAAGTTGGTTCCAATGCACGAAGAAAGAGTGATCCATTCACGCAGCATTTCCTTGGACTCGATTTATGGGGCACGACCCGGCTCTAAGCAGGGATCTCTGGACACCAGCACATGCACCACTGACAACACCTCGCAGTCTGGATCTCATTTGGGAAACATGAGTATCCCCGGGAAGCTACAGCACACCCCGCTCAAGCAGAAGTCGAAGACGTCGTACTTGCTGCGTGCTCAGAGACGGGTCTCGCCCGTAAAGCAGGCTATCAAGATGTCCCAGGCGGAGCTCTTCCCGCAGAATATGGCGCGCTTTGATAAGCCCCGCGAGGCTTTGCTCAAGACGTTTGACCAGCTGGACTCCAGCAACTGGGAGACGAACATGACCGGATTGAAAAGCATGGTGCGAATGATCCGCTACCATACCGACACTCTGGACAATCAGATGCACATGACCTGCATCCAGCTCACCCGCTCAGTCCGAAATCTGCGCTCCCAAGTGGCTCGAGCTTCCTGCCAAGCAGCTGCAGAGTTGTTCTCCCTGAAGTCCACCAGTCTGCAGCTTGAGTGCGACGATTTGGTGTGTGCTCTTCTGCACCGCACCGCCGACACGAACCGTTTTCTCCGCGCCGACGCCACTCGTGCCCTAGAGTCGATGGTGGATCACTTACAGCCGCAGAAAGTACTGAACATCCTGGCGGCGAAGGGAGCACAGCACCAGAACGCCCTGGTGCGCACCACATCAGCAAAGCTGCTCTTCAGACTTGTAGAGCGACTGGGCAGCGATCGCATCTACGCCATGGGCCGCGAGAGCCGCGACAAGTTCTTTGTGGTGGGGGCCAATCTGCTGCTAGAGGGCAGTTTAGAGACACGCAGCTACGCCAAGTCCTTGTTCCGGGCCCTCTCCGAGCACCACAATTACCAGCGATTGCTTTTGGAGGTGATACCACCGCGCACCTACAGGAATGTGGAGAAGACCCTGAGGAGCATCACGCGTTGATTTCCGTAGGTGTCGATGTCGATCTGTACAGCATAGGTTTAGTAGTCGAAGCCACTGGAAGCTTACATGTTAAGGGCACATGCACTAACTTTGAATGAACATTAATCTAGAGTGTATTCTAGATTTAACCGTAGTCTAATAAAAATATTGTTATTATCTCATGTAAACTGTGTTGATTGGTTGCTGGTTTATTTAGTTGGTACAGAAAGTTAGAGCGCACGGGCGGTTGAACGAAACCAGGAGGAGCATTGTCAACAAATATGCTTTTTAGTTAAAAACAAAGTCAAGTCAAGGTAAATATTAAGGAATCGGCGCCCACATTGTTGATGCTAGAATGAGAATTTGGAGTGAAGTGTCCTAAAAAAAGTTTGCTACGAGCACTCTGACCCCAGGACAGCCGGGAGGTGGAGGAAGTCACCAGGAGATGGGCGCAATCCTTCATAGTTTGGGCAAACTTAATAAAATTACAATATTGATTTTACCTTAAAGTGACCTCCTGTGTATTCTTAAGCTATATATAAAAACTAATTAAAAGCATGATTCAATCTCAAAGCAATCTGCGTTTGTTGTTGTGTCGCTGGTCCGACCTCCTGTTGCCGCCCTGCATGTGTTGGTGGTGTTGTTGCGGCTGCATCCTCGGCCGGTTACGGTCCATCACAGAGCTGTCGCTGCGGCGCCGCTGATCTCCGTTGTTCCCGTAGGGATTGCGATCGTAGGGCTTGGCGCCATGCAAACTGTGGCGGCCGTGGCGCGGAGGCGACGCCTGCGGAGGTGGCTCCAGCATGAACGGATTGCGCAGGCGACTCTGGTTGAATGCAGGCGGCTGCTTGCCCTTGTCGGCGCCCTGGTGCTTGATAGTAACCTTCTTCTGGAACAATTCCAGGCCCTGATACAGATCCAGGGCAAAGGGCACCGCACAGAGACGCTGGTAGGTGACGAAGCCGAAGTTTCGTTGTCGCCCCGTGTTGTCCGTAGGTATTCGCACTCCCTCGATGGGTCCGGCTTGCAGGAACACCTCGTACAGTATCTCCTCCGTCACGCGCTCGTCGAGATTGCCGCAGAACAGAGTGCGCTGCTCCTCGTCCTCTTCCTCGTCTTGGTCCTCCACTTCTTCGACAACCTGGTCGGCGTTCCCGTTGAGAGGAAAAGGGCAAAAGGGCTGCTGCTGCTGCCCGTATCCGTATCCATTCAGGTGTGGAGGCGGCATCATCATCGGCATGCCCGCTGCACCACTGTACATTTGCTGCATTAACACTTGCAGGTCCATTTGGTTAATTTCTTTCACAAATAAACAAATTTACTTCTTTCGAGATAATCAGTGTTGCAAAGTCTCCACGTTAGAGATGGTTTTGAAAACAGCGATGACATCGATGATGGCTTGCCAAACATCGATGTTTTCCATGTCTAACTGCGCATCCAAGGAGACCGCGTAAATTCAAAAAAGGGCGCCATTACTTTAAAAAACTGTTGGAAAAAACATGGGGTTTGTAATTACTGTGGGAAAAGCTATAAAAACGACCGGAAGCACAACGAACCTTCTCGACCATCTAAGGCACGTGCACACAGAATGCCTTAAAAATGGAAAAGGCAAAACCACATTTCAACTGCTATGGGTATGTTTGTGGGTAGGTCAACGTTGTTTCATATTAACAATTCTGCCAGGAAACGCAAAATCTACGAAATTGTAATGAGGATGAAGGGCTCATTAGTCTGTTAACATAATGGACCCGCGCTACAAGTTGCCAAGCCGGACCCACTTGCGTGAAACAGTTCTTCCAAGTCAATATGACCGCTTAAAGAGCAAGCTGACTCCTGTATAGAGAAGATAGACTTCCTGGCCTTAACAACCGATCTGTGGACATCGAGGGCGAACGAAGGATACATCACAATCTTGGAAACGCGGCAACTAGTAACATCCACAAACCTCAATAGTGCCAAAACTATTGCCTCGGTGCTGACAGAGTGGGCTATGACAAATAAGGTGGTTGGCGTTTTAACTGGTAATGACTCAACTGTGAAGAAAGCGATTGATTTGCTCCAGAAGAAGTGGATGTTCTAAAAGAACTTTTCGAACTTCTAGCACCCTTTGAAGATGCGACCTTTTCAGTTTTGATCAATACCAATACCAATATATAATTCCTCTTATATGCGAGCTTTTCCATAAAATTAATGGTTTGGATTGTACACTAAAACAGTAAAAGGAATTGCTGCTTGCTTTGGATTTCATCAAAAACCCGTTTACGAGAAAGATTATTGCATATGGGTATAGAACTATTCCACGTATAGCTACCCTACTTGATACTCGCTCTAAAAAGCAAGGATTTCTCAGCCAATCCAACTCCAATGATGCGACTAAAGCTTTACACCGTGGAGTCCACGTCATAAAATTGCTAAAATATCCGTTTAGCGAAGAAAAAAAGTGCAGTGGTGCAAAGCGTGGAAAATCTAAAGGTGAATTTCTCTACGGAGAACTTTTCGAGTGGTGAGTAAGGAGATTTAAAACTTTCCGTTATAGAGGTGAGATACAAAATTACCTGTCGCGCGGTGCATAAGCATCGCTGATAACAGAGACATTTTAATTAGGCGTAGATGTTCGCGATTGTTGTCATTCCCATCGCCGCCTCTTTTGATTGAGCTTTTTTTGTAGTACTAGCTTTGCACAATTCATCTCCCCACTTCGGCGATATGAATCAACCAACTATTTAGTCAGGGCACACTAGCTGCGACGATCACAACACGGGGTCGGACCGAATAAGCATTACCCTTCTCCTAGTAATACAAGATGTTGAAAACGGGAAATTTAAATTAAATGAATTTTTCGAATGCTCGATTTCAACGCGTGAAATTTTTCAATGGTTACAAATCGAATTTTTGGATTCGAAATTTACTTTAAGTAACGATCTTCGTATTGCAAAGAGTAAATAGGGTTTTTTTTAATAAAGAGAAAAGAGAGTGCTCCCCAGCAGAGTGAGGTAATGAGAACGTTATATCAGCGTTATCAACGCCACTTGAGCCAATAATTCGCATAGCGTCGAGACCTGACAAATAAACTAGACTACGACATAGAGAAGCACACACATGTTTGTGGATTTAATACCTCTTAAAAACGATGTACTGCCGAGGGTAGAAAAGCACGTCCGCTTGTAATCGGCGGACCCATTCAGTCGCTTATTGGACGCCTGGTAGCACCACCCGCTCCAGAAATGGAAGAAATTCCGAATATCACGGACTTGGCGCAGGTGATCGAGCCCCACTTGCCGGAGGGCTGTACCCTGGACTCGTATGACAGTCGATACCTGACCAAGCCCGGAGACAACTATGGCAGCATTATGTTGGCCGTGCAGGCCAAGATCCGAAGTTCAGACGGCGGTGTTAGGGAGTTGCCGCTAATAGCCAAGCTGCCGCCCCTCACAAACGATCTTTACTGGCAAATTTTCCAGCCTGAGCGTACCTGCATCACGGAGAATGCGGTGTACCAGTACCTGTCGCCTGAGCTGGACAAGTTGCAGCTGCAGTCGGGCATCCTGCCCGCCCAGCTTTTCGACGGTTTCCCGCGGTACTACGGCTCCCGCATTTCGCTCGACCCTCGCACCTCGAAAGTGGATCGAAATGCTGTCCTCCTCCAGGAGAACGTCACTGTGCGCGGCTTCCGGCCGGGAAACAGACACAGGCCGTACAATCTAGCGGAAACGGTGCTCATCCTGAACTCGTTGGCCCAGTACCACGCCCTTCCCATCGCTCTGCGTCTGAAGAAGCCGCAGGCATACGAGGAATATGTGCGACCGTACTTCAAGAAGTTCGACATGAATAGCAACATTGATCCGGCCGAGAAGGAACTGATGAACAGTGAGATTCTGAAGGACATCATGTCTGTGACCAGCGACGACCGGGACGTCATCCGTGTCAAGGAGCTGCTGGACATTTTCGACTCCTTTCAATCGAGCAAGGATGTTGAGGACGGTCCGTTTACTACCCTTGTGCACGGAGATCTATGGATAAACAATATGATGTTAAAATATGGTATGATGGCTTTGCAATTATTATTGCTTAGCAGGATCTAATGCTTTTTTAATCCTATCAGACGAGGAGGGCACTCCAATCAAGGTGAAAATAGTTGACTTTCAAATCGCGCAATACGAATCGCTGGTGCACGATATTATATTTCTGCTATTCTCAAGTGTGGACGTAAACGTCTTGGAGGATAACTATAAAAATTTCCTGACCATGTACTACAACGCCTTTATCCAGACCTTGCGCACCGTTAATGTGGACTGCAGCAACTACTCCCTCGATCTGTAAGACTAGTTTCCTCAGTTTTTAGGATCCGTTAGCTCATCCTATACTTTGTAGATTCCTGGAAGAGGTTCAACAAACCGCACACATTCAGCTGCCTCATGCCATCTTTATGATGAAGGTAATCCTGGCTGATGTCAGCACAATGCCTGAAAACTTTAAGGACGTCGACTTTTCGGTGTTGTCCAAGAATACTGGAATAAAAACGATTGTGACGAAATTCGAGGCTATTTTGCGACTGGGAAAGAAGTTTAATATTTTTCACTAAGCTTATTTAGCAAGTCTCGAAATAAAATAAAATCTATAACACGCCCCTCTGCTTCTCTTCCACATATACGTATACAGATATCTGTTATCAAACAACTAATCAACGCCTTGATTGTGCGCTCACATAAACAGATCGCTTTAGACTCTCTGTAAAATTGTAGTGTACATTGCCAAAGCAACATAGCCCTACCTTCCGCAAACTGAGCAACATGGAGGCGGATAAGTTGCCGGAAATTCACGGTCTTTCTGAGGTGGTTGAACCGCACTTTTCAGGGGCCCGTCTAACTAAATATCGAACGAGCATGGTGACGCAACCGGGTGAGAACTACGGAAGCGTTCTCTTGGCGATTCATGCCCAGCTGCAGCGATTGGACGGGGAGCTATTTGAGGAGCAGCTGGTGGCCAAAATTCCACCGACGGACCCCAAGTACTGGCAGTTCTTTCAGCCCGAGCGGACCTGCCTCACTGAGAATGCCGTCTACAAGGTTTTGGCCCCGGCTCTGACCAGTCTTTAAGATGAAGTTGGTATCCCCACGGAGAAGCAGTTCAAGGGGTTTTCCCGCTATTACGGCTCACGCGTATCCCTCGATTCTAACTCCTCCAAGGTGGATCAGAACGCCGTGCTGGTGTTGGAGAACTTGCGGAGCAGCGGCTACGTTTCCGGCCAGAGGCTGAGATCCTACGACCTGCCCCATACGCTGCTGGCCATAAGATATATGGCCGAGTTCCATGCCCTTCCCCTGGCTCTGCGACTACTCAGGCCCAAATTGTTTCGGGAAGAGGTTTTACCCTTTTTCCAGAAGTTCGACTGGCATGCAGCAGCGCCCGAGTGGAAAACTGTGATGAAGGCAGAGACCCTGGAGGACATTCGACGAGTCACCAACAACGATTTTAAACTGGTGGCCCGCGTGAAGGAGTTATCGGACAAGTTTTTTGAGTTCTTGGCCGCCGACGCGGATAAACCCGATGGGCCATTCACTAGCATAATACACTGCGACTTCTGGATAAACAATCTCATGTTTCTCTACGGTCAGTATAACAGCTAAAACGAGATCTAAAAAATATTACCCTATCATAATGACGATGACATAATTTTAATGACTGAGTTGTTACCAAGTCATTGCGTGACTGGCCGGAATAGCAAATCATTTTACTTCGAAATCTTTAGACCCCGCAGGAACACCCATCGGTCTAAAAATTATAGACTTCCAAACGGCGCAGTACGATTCCGTGGTGCATGACATAATCTCGTTTCTGTTATCAAGCGTTGATACGGCTATCTTGGAGACACATTTCGAACACATGTTGGAAGCCTACTACGAGGCTTTTGTGTGTAGTCTGCGCCGTGTGGGAGCTGATTTGGAGGATCACACCTTCAAGAAGTAAGATAAGGTAACGATCTGAAGGTGGTTGAGTGCTCATTAATTGCTGCTCCACAGGTTCCGGGAGGAGGTGAAGCGGGTCGCGTACATACAGGTTCCCCACGCCATTTTTATGACTCGCTTTATTTTGGCCGACAGCGCCGTCAGCGAGGCAGAGGAATTCCGCCAGCTCTCGGATGTGCTGAAGAACCCCGGATCAGAGCGAATAGGCCGCAAACTAGGCCAAATTTTATACTTGGCCCAAAAGTTTGACATATTATACTGAGGCCAATAAATTGATCCGTTAATGCAAACTCTAATTGACTAATGGCAATTTGATGGAGCGGCCTAATTGTTTTGCTGCTCTCTCAGATGGCTCCAAAATGGTAATCAGTCTTGGCAAAATGCGCGTTACGTGGGGATCGGTAGTGACCATCACGGCCTGGATAGTGCTGCTGGAGCTCAGGGAGATAAAGAGCAAGGAGGTCTGTATTACAAGAGAACACCGACCATTCCCATTTAATTTTAATGACCTGGCCAGAGTTGTTACTATGTGACATTCACCTATGCCAACTGGACGGATGACCGACCACGATTTGTGGTGAACATGACGTTCTCGAACCAGACGGGCATCGGCTCTGTCACCATCATCAACGAGGAGATAGCTTCACCGGTCTCGCGCATCCTGATCCTCCAGCACTCCGCCCGGGAGAAGGCTCGCACCATATACAACGCTTCGACGAAGCTGTGTGACCTGCAGAACGTCCTCAACTCAGTGCCGCTTTTCAAGCCGGTCAAGGACAACATGCTCAAGCAAAGTAACTACACGCTGAGCTGCCCGCTGGTAAAGGGCACCTACGCCATGAACAACATGCGAGTCAGCCCAAAAAATCCAATTCTGAGCCTTCTCTACCAACCAAAGCACACCTTCTCCGTAAAGGGCGGATTGTTCGAGGAACTGCGGGGTCGCCGACTGAGGCCGTTGTCCACTTATTTCATGATGGGAAAGGTCGTAAAGAAGTCCTGCGGCTCCAAAAAATAAAAAACGCACAAAAAAGATCAGCAGCAGCAAATCAAAAATTTGGTCTTTAAACCAACTTTCCGCAGCCCATATGTATATTACAAAATGTGTACCACAAAAGTATACCACACTTTTAAATTTCTGTTATTTAACATTTACGTAAAATACACGCTATCAAATGTAAATGGAGGAATGCTTAAATAGCAACGTTAACAAGAGAGAACTCGACTATCCCGTTACTCAGCTAAGGGGAGTGCGAGGGAACGAAAGGCCCGATTTAAATCATTTTCGGCTTGATAATATGAACAAAGTCTCAGAAGAATATATATACTTTCTAGGGTTGGAAAGCGCTTTCCTCTACCTGTTTCATACTTTCCGACGAATCTAGTACACCGTAGCGCTTAATAAATCTCGTTAGATCAATTCATTGGATTGCAAATTTTCGACCACATTACATTAGTGACTACGTTCAATACTCTTTTAGCAAATGTCCTTCAATTCTCTGCGGTATTCCTAACTAATTATAATTATCGATCAAAACAAGGCCGGGTCAATATGGAGAGACTGTAGCTGCCAGAATTTTTCTAGGTCTTCCCAAATAATTTCGGGACGGCTAATGAGCAATGAATCTGGTAAAGCCAGATGGGCAATGGTTGAACGAACTCAAAATGGTTGCACGTCCCCAAACATACAAAGAAAGTTGCTCCGTAATGGTTGATATATGGGAAAACACAATCAGTTCATTTAAATTGCTTGAATACTGAAATGTACAGTGAAATTTATCATGCAGGCTGGGTAAACAACTCACACTTAAAAACTTGCCGGCTTATCAAAAAGCCCTTATCAACCGACTTGCACAAAACAAATTCCCCGCCCTTTTGTTTACTCAGCTCTATAATCTCTGCGGGCTCCCATCCATTAATGTATATGTTTTCTAAGTGAGCATAGCTTATCGATTCTAATCGCAATTGTCAAATTAAAGCTGGTCACTTAACAGATAGCACGGAATCATAACCACAGTTGGGACAAAACCCAATTAATAATAATTACAAATTAAAATAATGCGCAGAGTGTGCCACACAAGGCGACCTTTGCATGGGTCTATGTCCGTCATCGGTTCCACTGCGGCGACTACCTCAGAAATCGGGGGACTGAACTTTGTCTGGTTCGATGCGCCAAAAAAAGCAAAGAAACAGATCCCAGATCACTTGCTAGACGCGTGTGGGGCGATGACGCAAATATTGCGAATCACTTGTACTGGCAAACAGAGAAAGTAACGCGAAGGCGACTAAAAAAAGATAATGAAAGGAATCGGGGCAATAAATTAGGGGCGGAAGATCTTCGGCCACTCTGGACAACCGGGAGAGAACACGCAGTCGGCCCCTGTTTCGGGTGATTCAGTTGGCCATTCCAGACTTTATTCTATATGCACTGCAGATTAAATATAGCCACCCATCACGACCAAAACATTGAGAATGGCGTGAGCAGTGTGAAATTAGATAAATAGGCCAGATAAAAGACAGAACTTGTTGGCTGTCTGTGTTGGCAAAAGACCCCCACGATATCGACACGCGCCATAGATAAAAGGAGGAATCGCTGGCCCCGAGTAAACACCGTTTGTGGGCCGCAAATCTTTCCGAATTTTTCAGCAGGGCGGTACGTGACCGATTATTTGCTGGGCATCGGTCACAGGACATGGCAATGGGTATACCTGCATGCAGTTGACAGGTTTTATAATCGCCCAGAGCGCTGGCCATATACTTTTGATCAAGCCATCCATTATGATTGCCCGGGCTATAAGTAGCGCCATAAAACGTAATCTCAACAAGCAATTGGTTCGGTCCAATTGAAATAACATAAAAATAAACAGTGCCCCCAGCAACGATTACTTCACCTGCAGCTCCGTAAACAGGTTTGCTCTGTTTTGCTGATTTTTATTGCCTCTGTGACGTGTACGCCCAGCATTGTAGCCGCGAATCCGGTGTTATCAGTAGTTTTTCCGACTTCCCCCCGCCGCAAGGGCGAATGGGTTTCTTGACCCAGTTTTAGCTTCTGGAAATCCCAATTCGCTACTGCAGGGGGTCTTTATTTTTGGTCCCACTGTAGACACTGCGACGGCCATTTGAAAATCACGTTTCACAGCCGTGTTTTCCTGGCCTATTCTTAGTGAGTATTTATATATTTATTGCTTTAACATTCAGGGGTGTGCGTGGAACGATTCCCCCGCTATATGTGGATCCCTCACGGTGATTACATCAATTTAGTTTTAAAGGCATTTGCCTCTTCGCAGAGTCAGCTACTTTTCTTTTCCCCATCTGCGGCCAACATGATTTATGGCCCTGTGATAACGCTACCCAGCGGGACTTATTCTATTGACCGAGTTAGATGGCACGCTGGCAAAGATAATGGCAAACGCTGGTCAGGTTTCTGCAGCCGGAAGGCCAAACTCGTGGCCTGTCTGCCTTATCAGTTGACTCGGACTTTAAACGCCACTCGTATAAACTGTTTTATTCAAATGATGTGCTAGTGTTTGATGAACCGCCACTCGACCTTTTTGTATATGTGCAAATTTGATTGGTTGCATAACATTTGTATAAAAATATAAATAGGCTGCAAACGATCGACTGGATCGTTTCGTTTCGTTTAGGAGCCAAGGAAGCTTTACAGCAGGGCCTTCAAACGACACCTGTATTTATGAGATCACTTGCTATTATACAATGTATTAGCCGAAAAGATTGCGTTCTTCAATGGCAGCTTATCATATTATTTTATTCAAATCGCCTGGTCTTAGGCAGCATAACTGGATCTCTTCAGACCTGCATTGTAAGATGTTGACATCTTCGAACTAGTTTCATGCATACCAATGAACCTGATTCAATTCATTAATGATCTGGTCTATGCCAAGCGGGGCGGAACTCTCAAGTTCTGCGGCCATAACAGGCTGGGGTCTTGATTTCGATTGTTTATGTGATTTTAAAATACCTTTGGATTCACATGCTGCAGTGGAAAACAGGTATATTAGATATTCGGTTTAGAACGGAGCAAAGGAATGCGTCCCAACCTTTTGATGGGATTTCTTTGGAAAGCGCCTCTCTTGGCCCTTCGGTCATGCTGGCTGGGACCATGTGTGTATTCAAAATTGTTTTGAACAAACCGGACCGCCTTATCTTTCGCTTTCGACCCCATTACACTTGCATGTCCCGTAATCCGTAATCCGCGCCCAGCAGAGCCTCGGCAAACAAGCACCGCAAACTGCACCTCAGAATGTCAACAACTACGAGAGTAAGACCATGCCCAATGCACTTGTAAAAAATTACTTGGAAATGTATCACAAAATCGTAAGCAATTATATATAAAAAAAAATTATGATTGCAATCCACAAATCATTTTTTGGAAATTAGAAGTTAAGCGATTTTATCTATCATATTTATCAAAACTGTAGTACATTTTGTAAGTGTGCGGCGGCAAGGTGAAAACAGTTTTTGAAATACAGGCATGCAGAAGGCAGGGCAAATGAGTGAGCGAGCACTCTTGGGGCGATTAAGTTCGCGACTCTGCTCAATCAATATTTGAATGTAATGGGAAGTGATGGCCTGTCATCAGTGGAGTGCAATTCCCCCGCCTTATCAGCTGACCAACCCATCGGTATTGTAAGGGAACATTCTCTCCTGCGCAGCCAATCTTTCTTTCAGGCCTATATGTAGCGGTCCGCAAGCACACATATTCTCAACGCGGACCGCAAGCATTAATCTTCGGAGACTTTCAGTGTCAGGCAGCTGGTTCTGGTGGAAAACTTTCCATTGAAAACAAGGTCTTGCTTTAGTTCGTTTTCGTGCCCCCATGTCACATTTATTTACAAACAAGCTGTTCTATATTTTAAAATTCCGCTTTTCACAATCATTGCAGCGAGACGCGTTTGAAAGCTCGCCAAAAAAGAGCAAATAAAATAGCATTTAGTAATGGCTTTTGCTTTGTTTTGTTTGCAACTTTGCTTTTACTAGAAATGTTTATTTGAATCGCATTGGAATTTTTAATTTTCAGGGTGCTTGTACTAGAGACATTTATAATATAGGCATATATATAGATAGAACGCTGTAAAACGCTAGCGAATTGTAAGATACTACAGATCAAATTTATTTTACTTAAAATTGTACTCAACAACTTCGTGTCAACAATTAGTTTTAAAAACAATTTCCATATGTACCTGTGTTTTGGATATGAATGGTTAATTAGATGTAGTCGAATTTCAGTGATATTCCTTTCTTTAACATTACATTTTTGACACCCCGACGGGTAATCAACAAGTGAGGTTAAAACTTCTAAATCTACAAAGTGTTTCGGCCAAAATGGCAAACGTGTAAGCCAGATCATTTTTTTAAATCCAAAGATAGCACATTAACGTACAATGTTATTTATTATTTAGATTAAATCAACGATTAGGTATACATAATTTGTAAAATATTTACGGCAGAATATTATTGGGGCCCCCATCGCTTTCAGGTTCAATTTTCCTTCTTGTTCTGATCTTCTTGCCACCCACCCACTTTCTTAAATGCTAAACGCACGCTTCTCGTGCCTCGTTCTCCTGTCTTTTTTGCACAAGCAAACTAAATTTTGCTCCACTTGAATGGAAAAGTAGCCAAATGATCGGATACGCTCCAAAGTTCAATAATATACTATGTACAAAAGATTTTACGCCCACTAACTCCTTCAGCCACTTACAGCCTACTCGTTGAGCAGACAGGTGCGGACGATGGCGCCGCACACGGCGTAGGGATCGCAGTTGGAGCTGGGTCGCCGGTCCTCGAAGTATCCCTTGCCGGCCGTCGCCACGCCACGCGGCACTCGCACACTCACGGCGCGGTTGGCCACGCCCCACGAGAACTTGTCGATGCTGGAGGTCTCGAGACGACCCACCAGGCGCCGTTCGTTGTCCTTGCCCTCCTTGGGGTCATAGGCCTTGATGTGCCGCTCGTGGTGTTTGCTCAGCTTCTCGATGGCCTCCTCGATGGCCTTGATGCCACCCTCGGCACGCATCGCCTTCGTGGAGAAGTTGGTGTGGGCTCCGGCTCCGTTCCATTGGCCTTCCATTGGCTTAGGGTCAAAGGTCACCACCACGCCGTACTCCTCGGCGATGCGCTGCAGGATGTAGCGCGACACCCACAAATCGTCACTGGCCTTCAAGCCGCTGCTGGGGCCAACTTGGTATTCCCACTGGGCGGGCATGACCTCGGCATTGGTGCCGGCGAAATCGATCCCAGCATACAAGCAGGCCACGGCATGGGCCTCAACAAGATCGCGGGCGTAGACGCGGTCGGCTCCCACGCCACAGTAGTATGGTCCTTGCGGGGCCGGGAAGCCGTTCTCCGGCCATCCAAAGGGACGACCGTCCACGTCCAGCAACGTGTACTCCTGCTCGATGCCAAACCAGGGCTCCTGGTCGCCGATCTTGTCGACTCCTGCCTGGAACGCGGCACGCTTGTTGGAGGCCGTCGGCTTGCCGTCCGCGTGGTAGGTGTCGCACAGGACAATCACGTCGTTCTTGCCCGGCTTGAAGGGATCGCGGTAGATGGCACGAGGCTTAAGAGTAGTGTCCGAGTTCTCCCCATGGGCCTGGTAGGTGGAGCTGCCGTCGTACTGCCAGTCCGGCAGGTCCTCCACGGCACTGGGGACCTTGTCCAGGACGCGGTCCTTAAGGCGGATGTTCTCGCCGGTGCCGTCAATCCAAAGATAAGTGGCCTGCACCCGGTTGGCGGGCGTTTCAAGGTTGCGGTACCGCTGCAGGATGCTCTTGTCCAGCGCTGTGTTGGGCGAGTTGGCCAAGAACTGGGAGCGGGCCGTGTTCGAGGTGCGCAGCAAGCGCAGCTGCTGAGTTGCTGGAGCCACTAGCTCCTTCTTCAGGAAGAGTCCGGCCACGCGGAATGCCATGTTGGTCCTTGATTGGAGGTGACGAGAAGGACAAAAGGACACAGTTAGTTATGTATTGCCTGGGAGTGGGAGGACGTGCGCAGCAACGCAAGGATGCTGGCAGGGTTCACTCTGCTCTCCCCCCTTTTTTATGTAATTATTTTTCGTGGACTTGCTTCTCTCGGCGACTGGACAAGTGGGTGCTTATCCAGTCCAGCCGCAGTCTTCCGCCCAGCTTACCGTGCTCTGCTCGTTTGTCCACTTTACAGTTATGTGATTTGCTAAGTAGTCGCTGGCTGGCAGGTCTTCTGGGACTTTTGGATTGCGGGACTTTCGGTTTCTGCTTTTGTCAGTGGCTGCGGAGCGACTGCTGAGGACACCCGACCAATTCGAGGTTTGGAAGGCTTGTGAGCACAGTTAGCGCGACAACATTCACTTTTTTTCGTTTCGATTCACTTCGTTTCGTCGCGCTCCTCGGGTTTTCTTTATCGCGTTTGCGACGCCGACGCACAGGCAAAGGCAGAGGCAAAGGCCTCCCAGAGAGCGTCCAAAAGACAACGGAACAGTGTGAAAACCCCCATGGTATGCGGGCACCCAAGAAGCATCTCTCGGAGAGCCCAGCGAGGCGACCCAAAATGTTTCAAGGCTACGCGATTAGGCCGACTCCCCGTTACTGGGCCCATGTAATACGCTCATTGATGCACTACGGGATTAATGTACGAAGGCCAAACACAAACAAAAGTACGTTGGTATTTAAAAGTTCTCATTATAGAACACCTGCGCGATAAGGTGCCATGCAAACGAAAGATCTATAAAGCCCAAATATTGAGGTCGACATTGTTTACTTTTAGTAGTTTTTAGGGCGTGTGGGTGTTTTTGTTGCATTCAATATATAAAATATAAATTTTATTTATATTTACATTTTCTTAATCGCCTAACAAGCAAAATTTAACAATATAAAATATACAAAATTCTTTCTAATGGGTTTTAAGTTTTAAAATAAATCTTTATAATTTATTGTTGACAAAGTTAATCAAATATTATTTAAAAGAATTTTTTTTCTGCGTGTTCCTAACATCTCTAGATCTTGCTTGTTTTTCTTTTTTCTCCCTCTGTTATTTTCAGAGCAAAACAACATATTAATAGCCTAGGGACGCAGATGTTCCATGTTCCCGATATTACAGCATTACAACAACATTGCATCCAAACAACTTGCAGTTGCTAGAGAGCAGCCAGGAGTGCATGCGCGCACTCTCTCCATTTCTCGCCATCTCTTTGGAACAACCTCTCTGGCAGATTGTTTGGATACACGCCTGGTACAAAGTTCACTATATACAATTAAATATAGCCGAGGCAAACAAAAACGTATCAGCTGTTATGGCTATGTGCTTACCATTTAATGAACCCTGTGAGCGAATCGCAGAACCCAAAATGAATAAATATTGATTCCAAGAGGAATCACCCTTTTTAAAAGAGCTTGGTTTTGGGTCAACAGATATTTCTGGTATTCAGACACGATAACCACTAATCGACAATTATAAAAATCCCACTTGAAAAAATGCGGCTATAAAGTCCCTATATATGTATATTTATCGGAAGAAAGTTATTGATGTGTGCGAGACGGCAAAGTGTTGCCTGCTTTTAGGCTTTGACTATGTAGAATTTATAACACGCAATATATACATACATGGATTGTAATTGTACTCAGTATTTCCCGGTATTTCAAGAGGGATGAGAGTCACTCTGGGAGACCCACTATCTTTGCTCTACTACTTTTTGAAAAGTAAGAAATTAACAAAAGGTAGCTTTTTTTAAAAGGTATGTATCATTTTTTAATTCTCCAAAATAAGATTTTACATTTTTAATAAATAATATGAGCTTTTGGAAATCTTGTACTTAAATGTTCCACAATCATAAATAAATGTTTTTCGTTTAAGTATATGACGTTCTTTTCTATGTTGAAGCTAAAATTATTATCTACTAGAAAAATATATATGTATATAAATACAGGAATAAAAACCCACTTAGCAGCATCATCACCAAAGCTGCACACCACCTTAATGCAACAATTGGCTATTTTTCCGACCAAAAGTCGAGTGGCGGGAAAGCAAGCTTTTTGTTTTGGCCGGCTGACATAACTTTGGCCGAGCTTCAGGTTGCCATAACAAAGAAAAAAAGGAAAAGAGAAGAAACTAGTCATAGGCGGTGTGTGAGTGCGAATTTCCACCACATCAACAGCAACGACTGCATCGCACATAGTCACTCGTACTACGCTTTTCCAGTTGCGTGGCATCGTTTCCACTGGATGGCCGGCTTAAGTTTTCTTTCGCAAGAATCTACGAAAGTTTTCCTTTCACTAGAGTGCATATTTAAATGCGGTGTGGAACGGATAGGTCCAAAAAATCGCAAATTGGTCATTCGGCTTGGTTTCCGACCGCCTTATTTGTAATTAAGGCCTGTGATTAAGCGTTTTTGCGAAGGCCACTTGTTGCTGCCAAGAAGCGGCTTTGAGAGATTCTGTGGGAGTTGAGGTTACTGCACCATGAGCAAGTACAGTTGGAATCAGTTTTTGGAAAACAATAATCTGTAAGTAGCCGAACCAGGCGAGGTCTCAAGCAAAATGCACCGCAACAAATTCGGACAACTAACGAAAGTACCTTTAATGAAACGAATTCAACAAGTGATAGAAGCGCAACCGGTTTGCAATTCCCGCAAATCATTGATCTCCGTGATTTGAATTACACTTAGTTTTAGAAATTTCCACGCTATTAGTCATCGGGAAATAATGTCGGTTGAAATTTTCTAGTTTAGCATAACTGGATACGCGTGCAACGCTCTATTCCTGTTCGCTATGGGCCAAACACAGAAACTAGGAAAAATCACGTAAATTGGAATTCGCATTATGAACATACCTGCCTTTTGTCGATCTATTGAGCTTTTCACTTGAAACCAAATAAAAAAAATACCAAAGAAACCGGTTTTACTTTAGTTAATTTTGCTACGCTCTTGCTTACACTCCAAGTGCAATTCGTAAGACTCGATCGGCTTAGGAAAAATCTAAACAGCTTGCAATTCAATCAAGTCAATAGGTTTTTTGTAGTGATAACACTGCTCACCCCATCTTATGTGATTAAAATGCAATAAAAAACGCCTCACATTTCGCGTAACGAAAGACATTCAAGCTAATTTATTCCCCAAAACAGTTCTTGGAGCCAAGTTTTAAGGACCTCCCACGCCCTAGTAAATAACGCGCTACAAATGACCTCATGTCACATATAATAAAGGGAGCTGGCGGCATACCCACGTCGCAAAAGCTGACCATTAAAAGCGCTCATATTGTCAGACTCGATGTGAAGGACGGATGGCATTTCATGCTGCTTTGCGAACGAAACACACAATTACCACTAACGAGTATTATTATAACCGCGCTCTTCCAATCGAAGAATACTACCCATTGGATTCTTTTTCCGTAAAACACTAAATGGTACCAAAGTACAACCCCCTTATCGGTTCAATGGAGACTCTTATCAGGTATAGATTGGCACCCCTAGATAAGCCCCGGCAATTACTAATGAGTCGTGGGCAAGACCCAGGCCATGAACTTGTAATGCATGTAACTTGTATATAGCATTAGCCAAACACCTTAGCTTAGCTCATTAGAGTTCTTTCCTTTTTCCTGCGATCCCAAACCGTGCGAATCAGATTGGAACATTATGCTATCTGCTATATGTTCTTATCGACGCGAGAGACTGGGAAATAAGCATTTTCCACAAGGCTAGTTCGATATCAGTGGGTGGAATGTTCTTTCGGGTAGGAAGCGGTTGGTAAATCAGCCCAAAGAAATCCCACGATTAGACGCTTTTCCCAGATGTATTGAAGATTCCGCCGAAGAATCCGCTGGCTTTTAAGAGAGTGGGGTGCGCAGAGAGCTGCAGCACCGTGTCTCTCCCTCTCACTAGAATCCGAGCCAGAACTGGGGCCCCAACTGCCGTCCCACTCTGGCCACAGACGTCAGGCACTGGGGCTGCGAGTGTGTGTGCGATGGCACTCTCTGCCAGCGGTCGCTTAAATTTCTGGCTTTGTTCCACTGCCGCAATTGCTTATTTCAGTTGCGATCGCGGCGCGAGCGAGTCAAGTCCTATCATTCGAGAAGCGGGAGTTCCGTTTCGAGCAGACGGGTGGAAAATTTCTCTCACCTAACCAGACGGTGGTGGAATCGAATCGAGAACGTGAACGTGAACGTGAACGCAAACCCAAACCCAAACGGGAACGAAGGGCAGCAGGGGCTGCAGTACTGCTGTCAGTGGCAAAGTTTACGAAGAATACACACACAGCACAGTGGTTGCATTTTGCTTTTTAACCCCGACTGGTTGACTGATTGACAAGATGACTAAAAACGATAATGCGAATCTGTTGAACGACAACAGACTGGGCACCGCCGGAGCAGGCCAGCTGAAGGCCCAGATAGTGCCCGCCCAGCCGAAGACCCTGCAGCACTTGCCCAAGCGGCCGGCGGTGGATTTGGCCTTCCACAACCTGACGTACCGCGTCAAGGAAGGAAACCGGAGCAGTAAGTAGTACCCGCCACATATTTCACATGTGTACACATTTCCACCTGCACACCTTGGTCTCTCTCACCTCACCTTTGCGTTTTTGTTTTCGTCTTCTTTGTGCTGGGGTCCCTGTTCCCGAGGCCTGGGTAGTAGTGCATCCCCACATGTGCCAACGGGAGCTCCTTCCTCGGAGTGCTTTGTTGCTATTACGCACTTCCCTGGCTTTAGCGGGTTTTACTTGTTTGCTTTAGCTGCGCTTCGCGTCGTGCTGGTTTCTGGTTTCTTTGTTCTTCTGGCAGCAGTATCGCAGTATCAGCGCTGTCACACTGCGAGTAACGGGCAGAACTTCGGATTGTAGCGCTGAGTAACCCATCGTAACACAAGGGCGGCTGTGGCCAAAGTTCACTGGGTTGCACAGCGATAAGCCGTGCCAAATACATCGAAATTGCATCCAGTAGCCGGGGAGTAACTGCCCACACAAACGCTTTTCGCCAAGGGGGCACTCAACAAGTTGGTTCGATGCTCAAGCATCTGGAATGCGAGACATGTACTCTCTACACTCGTGTCTGTGTGTATCTATCTTGGGGCATGGGTGGAGCAGCACGGGGGTCACTCGGATCTGGGGCTGTTAATGAGCAAAACATTCTATGCTGGCGGGCCGCAGTGAGAGGTTTTGTTTTTTCTAGTTTGAGTGCTTGTTTGCTGGCAGCGGTTTGTGCTTGATGTGTTAGCAGAGCGATTAGGGTTTTGTCATAACCGGATAGCTAGCTATGGTGGGGTTGGGGGGCTGGATCGGGGAAATGCATCGGAGGGCGCACTGTATCCGCGGGAGTGGCCTCATGGAGCCATTTTGAATTGGTAATGATGGTACGGCGATAATACCCCCAATAATTTGGTATTCGAACGGGCACAGCTGCTTTGTTCTCAGATGTCCGTCAATCAATAAAAAGCTCAGTCGCAAACCCTTATGGCCGATGCGAACGAGCTGGCCGGCCAAGTACAAAAGTAATTGGAGGCGGCAGCAGTCTGAACTTTGCACAGCCGCAAATTGCCACAAGATTCAAAGGTCGGCCATCATACCCAATTAAGTCGTTCAGAATATGCGAATATATAGACGTATTTACACTGGCCAGTGAGTGTGCCTCACCTGGCCGACAGATTTGCAGATGGCACGCCGCCTTCAGAGACGTGCTAAGTTTGTGGGCTAATAATGTATACAAAACAAAGTGGCTGTGGCTGTGGCTGTGAGGCAACCGATGGAATTCGCGCTGTTTTCGACTTTGAAGTAAACAAAAAGGCAGTGGCGAGTACCAGCGAGCGTTCTCGGATGCTCATTTATAAGTTTCACTGTACGGTCTGGAGAGTAGAATTCACAAAGGAGACTGCAGTGCCCTTGGGGCTGGCGCTTGTCTCGCGCAATCTTTTCTTGAGCAAACTGAATGGCGGCACTTGTCCAATCTGGCCGGCAAAGCAGCAAAGCTGCGAGTTGGCCTTAGAGTCAGACTAGCGTTTGTCAAGCATGGCCCCACTTTTGGTGCCATTACAGCGACTGGCAAGCAAGTACCGGCACTTTTCAGGCTGTGGTTCAATGCGAGACGTTGCGTAGCTAGTGGTTACGACTACGACTAGCTAGTCGCCGCCTGACAACTCGCAGGTTCACTGCCAGCTTTCGATGTGAGACGTATTAAGTAAGCCGACAAATAAAACAATTACGGCCCTGCACGAGGTTAATAAATCTGAAGTTTCACTTCTGAACGGGTCACGGTACTTTACTAGTCGTAGTTATGGCACGCCTAAATTGAAATGTTTCGTAATGGACGCTTAAGAGCAACTATTAAATCCAGTTATAACTCCGGTGCCCCACAAACATCAAGCCACTTCGTACAGCCCTCGATCTTGGTATTCCACCAACTTATTTCGATGAAATGGTTCATCCGTCTTCTGGCAAGACTGAGAGCCTGCAAGCAACGCGCGTGCCCCTATGAAAACGGGTTTATTAGCATTTTCCGTAAAGCGCAGATGGCTAGCCGTGCAAATCTATTGGTTTATAGGTATGCGATGGTGATAAGGCACTTCCGCATCTGAACAGTTCCATTTAGACAACATACGCGAAATTACCGATGTTGAGGCCGACCATCTTTAAAGTGGAAATCAAAACTAATTAGGCATGCGCTCCTCGAGATTTACAGATCCATTGTTTCGGTGGAGCTGATTGTTTTATGTAACCAAATTCCGAATAATAGAAGCCACTTGGGGCGGCTGCAGTTGTCCAATAGACTCCTGAATCGTTGGAATTCGGTTGGTAAAACCATCAGTCATACCGTTTTTGTCTGAATTCATGAGCTCGAATGCCGGTGGAGGTGGAAGTCGAAAAACTCCGTGGGGCCAATGACCGAGTTATGCCTTTTGATTGTCAGACTTAGCAAATTTTGTTTACCTATCGACTCTACACTTGCTCTTCCGATGACCAGTGCAGCGTCTTATTTGATAGTTTCAGCCACTCAGTCGAGTGGCGCACTTGGATTCAATGACGTAAGACCAATCAAACCGCCAACTATTTTTAGTCTGAACAAGAAGTTGGCCCAAACACTGATTCGTGCCTTTTATTACAGATGCCAAGACCATACTGAAGGGCGTCAGTGGACGGCTCCGGTCGGGAGAGCTCACAGCCATAATGGGACCGTCGGGCGCTGGCAAGAGTACGCTGCTCAACATTTTGTCCGGCTACAAGTAAGTTTGGCTGGGCCTGATAATTTGCATTCACAACAAGTAGCTGCTAAAATCCGAATCACCGACGAATCTGACCTTGCGCTAGCACACGAGAATACGACGAATCGAGTGCGAGTATGTTTATAGCCAGCCCTATATTATCAACAGTAATAATAACGACTTGATAAGCACTCTGCCTCTTTCGGTGCTTGAACCGCCGACCTTTCTACGCTCTGCGTTCTTTGTAATTATATAATTTATGCGCGACACATACTGATCCAATACGAAGCGACTTCCCTTCGCCAACCCTATCTTTATTCGTTTATTGAAAACGCCAAATTTTGCTGTATCGCATAATAATCATAAACAATTCAGTTAACCTGGCCAGTTGTTACTGTTACTGTTGTTACCAGGAGCAATTAGACGTTCGCGCTGAATGAATCGCAGGAAGTTTTTTCATGACATATATATCGTACCGGAGTGTAATCAGCGCCCGCTTGCTATTTCCTCACACGGCATTGTCGTCGTGTTTTATTAGTTTAAATACTTGAGGGAGAATACGCTACTAGTTTGCTGAACTTCGGACTTCAGTTGTCCGATCGCGTGCACATATATATTTTGTATATCAAATAAGTGTCCGCATACAAGCACGCGTAGATATGCACAATACAATACCCGTCCGATTATTTGCAATTAGCTTTCCCCATGATAACAGTTTTATTAAACGATTTCCCGATCTTGGAAAAAAAATGGTAACCCTACTTGATCCTTTGCTACTGCATATGATTGGGATTAGGACATTTAGATCTATCCAGTACTCCAGTAATGGAATCCACACAACTGACTCTTCCTTTTAATTGCATCCGCAGAACGTCGAGCATCGAAGGAAGCGTCACAATGAACGGCGCAGAGCGCAACCTCAGCGCTTTCCGCAAACTGTCAGCCTACATCATGCAGGACAATCAGCTGCACGGAAATCTCACCGTCCAGGAAGCAATGACGGTGGCGACTAATCTGAAGCTTAGCAAGAAGTTCTCGAAGCCTGAGAAGCATTCAATGGTAAGTCGCAAAGAGATCAAGGCAGTGAGTCAAATAAGTCTGGCAATTAAACAAGGTTAATCATACAAGCTTCCTATCCAGATGACAAGTTTATTTTTAGCCAAATTGACTTAGACAGAACCAGTTCTGGGTAGTATATTTTGCAAATATTTATTTACAGAAAATCTAGCAAGTCATCGCGACTGAATAGAACCAAAATAAAACCTACTTCCACCCTGCTAACAAGCCGCTGTCTCTTCCAGATCGATGACATCTTGCTGACTCTCAGCCTGAGCGAGCACCGCTACACGATGACTCGCAATCTGTCTGGAGGCCAGAAGAAGCGCCTCTCGATCGCTCTGGAGCTGGTCAGCAATCCGCCCATAATGTTCTTTGACGAGCCCACCTCTGGCCTGGACAGCTCCACCTGCTTCCAGTGCATCCATCTGCTGAAGATGCTTGCTGCCGGCGGACGCACTGTTATCTGCACCATCCACCAGCCCTCCGCTCGGCTCTTCGAGATGTTCGACCAGCTGTACACACTGGCCGACGGTCAGTGCGTGTATCAGGGCAGCACCAAGCAACTGGTGCCCTTCCTGTCCACGCTGAATCTGGAATGTCCTAGTTACCACAACCCGGCGAGCTACGTGATTGAGGTCTCCTGCGGTGAGCACGGCGATCACACCCGAAAACTGGTCGACGCCATTGACAATGGCAAGCGGGACATCCGCTCGGCAGCGGACTACGCAGGGCTCAAGGCTCGAAACGATCTTGTGAAGGTGCAAAACTTGAAGGCCATTCTGGACAAGAACGACGCCTCGAACGTCAGCGGCAGCAAGTACGAGGACAACCTGACCCTCAACAACGGCTTGCTCAACGGCATGGTCAACGATATTGTCAAGGAGGGCAATGGCAGCTCCGCGTTGGTCACCACCAACGAAAAGGGAGACGCCATGATCGACGTGGAGAAGTCCGTCAACTGCACCACGGCCCTGCTCACGGAGGAGATCACATCCCCAGAGCGTTATCCGACCTCGCAGTTCCACCAGTTTTGGGTGGTTCTCAAGCGAACTCTACTCTTCAGCTACCGCGATTGGGTAAGCAGAATTTTTGGCACTGAATTATGGGCTGACTAACCTTTTCGTTTTCCTATTCTGTAGACCCTTATGTATCTTCGATTATTTGCCCATCTCCTGGTTGGATTCCTGATCGGTGCCCTGTACTATGACATTGGCAATGATGGAGCCAAGGTGCTGAGCAATCTGGGATTCCTCTTCTTTAACATGCTTTTCCTCATGTACACGTCAATGACCATTACGATCCTATCATGTAAGTGAAACTTGATGGATTACTAACGCTTTTCGGTAAATAATATTTGTCTCGTTCGCAGTCCCGCTTGAAATGCCTGTTTTGTTAAAGGAAAACTTTAATCGCTGGTACTCGTTAAAGTCCTACTATCTGGCTATATCAGTAGCCGATCTACCGTTTCAAGTGAGTTGCACTCAGGGCTTATGGAGAGCAACTGTATCTAACAACCCGTTACTTTCTCCTCCAGGCAATCTTCTGCGTTATCTACGTGTCGATCGTCTATTACTTCACTTCGCAACCGTGGGAGCTCTTCCGCTTCTCCATGTTCTTGTCGGCCTGCCTCCTCATCTCGTTTGTCGCTCAGTCCGTTGGACTGGTGGTTGGTGCTGCCATGAATGTGCAGAACGGTGTTTTCCTGGCCCCTGTCATGTCCGTGCCCTTCCTGCTGTTTTCCGGCTTCTTTGTCTCCTTCGACGCTATACCAGTATACTTGAGGTGGATCACATATTTGTCGTACATCCGGTACGGATTTGAGGGCACTGCTCTGGCCACCTACGGGTATGGCCGCGAGAAGCTGAGGTGCTTCCAGGTTTACTGCCACTTCAAATCGCCCACTACGACGCTGGAGGAACTGGACATGGTGAACGCCAACTTTACTCTGGACATTGTGGCCTTAATTGCGATCTTCGTGGTGCTGCGCATCTCGGCGTACCTGTTCTTGCGCTGGAAGCTAAAGACTGTGCGCTAGGCATGTTAATGCTCTTTGTTGTTTTCGGTTATAAAAGCTTTCTATGTACCTACTATTTGGTTTTCTACAAAGCGTCTTGGGTTCTGTTCTTAACCATTAATCTTTACAAAATTTATTTTTGCCTAGTTTTTAGTTGCGAAATTCATATTTTAAGTGATACAAACGAGAGAAGGTTTCACACCTCACGTTAGCTTGATTCCAGCCGCAGATGTAGCAAAACCTTACAACAGTTTAACAAACCAAATCACTGTAAGCACAACATCATCGATATAAGAATCGTATAATGAAATAAGTTATTAAACATCAAAACCCACATTTTTGCCAAAAAAAAGAAAAGAATATTTGAATACATTTCCATATGTATTGAACGATTGTTTTATAAATGTCTGTGAATAATAATCTTTTAATACACATTTTGTGTCCTTGAACAAATAAAATCCTTGTAATATACATATATTTTTATTCAAGGTACTTTAAGCCCGCTTGTAATTATTTTATACCAACTTTTTAATACAGGTTTATGATAAATCCAGATGGTATTTAAGTGTCTGCAACATATACATATTTTATAATCACATTTGTATTTATAAAGATTGCATTCTTGGAGGAAATAAAGAAATTATACACAAAACTCTACTACTATATGTTTTAAGCAGAATAAATGGGTATTATTATATTGGTTAGCATTTTTGCTGCATAAAAGCTCTTCGAGCGCCATCTGGCGGAAACACGGTCCAATAGCTCGAGTAGTTTAACGACCGTTAAATAAATGTGATTATTTAAAAGGTTTGTTCTTTTCAAATTGGAAATAAGGTAATGAAGCCGTGTTTCTTTTTTTTATATTAATAAAATATATTTTTCTTAGGCTTGGTATAACCGAAATGAGTGTATCCCCACTTTGCAAACAAAAATTACTACATATTACAAATTCAAATCTTCCCAATAAATCCACCAATTAGGGGTATAATTATACGTCATAGGACGTTTCAACAGCATCTAATATTCGCCATACTTTCTGTACGCGCTGTTCCACTGACTTTGCAATTTCTCGTAAAATATGCCACATATTTGTGTAATTCTAACTTCACGTTTATGTTAATTACCAAAAAAAAATTACTAAGTAAGTTTAAAAATTCAAAGTTTCCCAATAAAGCATCCAAATAGGGGGTATCATTTTATGTCATGGTAACGTCATGCATTCTGTAGCCGCTGTTTCAATGACTTTGCAATTTGCCTTAAAATATGTCATATATTTATGTAATGGCAGCTAGAAGCTCATGTTAATCACCACAAAATTGTCTGCCTTAAGCGAATGAATTTTCAATTTAATGCACCAGCAGAGATTTGCATGCCATAAGAGTATTAAGGTAGGTCAGAGGCATCAGCATTCCCTCTATTGGCCAGCCAACTGGAATCGTTAAAAATAGACCGGCCGTATCCTTATGTGTCAAGTTCGAGATCTTGCAAAACAAGTTTTTCCGCCTCTCTAAATAAGGAACCAGACGCTGCATCTCTACCCAGAAGGGCAGAAGAATTCTGACCGAGCACAGAGCTTCGCCTCTGTAAATCTAGCATAAGCAGTAGCATTCACTGCTGCGTTCTTCCTGCACTCGCTTTCAGTACCATTTCATTCGTCGGTGCAACCAGTCGACGCCTCCTAGCTGCCGTGGTGGTTGCCATCATGAGAAAGAGAGTGGAAAGCCAGCGACAGCAGCAACTAAAAAAAGAAAGTGGAGTAAGTGCCCCCTAATTCTCCGCCAATCCACCCTCTGCAGCTCCAATGTCAGTGAGTGGTGCACTAACGCAGCTGCAAATCGTAGAGCTCGCCGGCTATATCTAAGCGCGTTCGTTGAACCCGAACAACTAGGGAACAACTGAAAGAATGTGAGAGTGCTTGCAAGAGTACACACAAGTACGATAGAAATTTTAGACCTAAATAGCAAAAGCCAATTCAATTATTTAATCGACTTCTGGGTCAACTGAGGGAGTTGTTATCAGTACATATTCAGTACATGACTCAAAAACCAACAAACACATAAATGAATTCAGAATATACCGATAATTCTGTGAGCCCAAGATACAAAGACCTCATAAGCTTCTGCTTTATTTGCCGAAAAGCACATGCCCTGATAAATGCACGAGCACAAGGAATATATAATTATATTTCTGAAATTAGCTGTTACTTCTTGGATATACAAATACTTATATTTATTCGTACAATGTAGGATTGTTGATCATGTATCACCACCCGAAACAAAGTTCAACATTCGCCGCTTCAATGCATTTACATGCGCCATTACTCACACAGCAACGGTCAAAAATGAACCAGACAAAGACTGTGCCAGCAAGTCGCCTACCGAGTACCCTAGACACACTGGACTAACACCTTTCTATGCGCAACTTACCGCAATACTTGTCAGTAGGCAAGATTCGCTTCCCGAGTTCTTTTTAGACGGTATCAAAAAGGGGGCCAATGGTCACGCACCCGTTTAAGAGCGACTCACAATTAAATTTATATTCATACGCTGACGCTAAATGCTTTCCACAGATAAAGCGCTTCGGTCGCGAAAACATGGAGCCCGCAATCAGTGAGTGTCAAGAAAAGATAAAGAGTGAACAACAGCGTCCAGATTGCGCATCCGCACTGTCCGCCCGCCCACCAGCTGGTTTCTTAAATCTAGCACCGGACAAAGCTTCCGCTATGGATTGGCCCACTAGCTGATAACACATGAAATTCTCCGAAAGTTCTGTCTGTGGTGCAGTGACTGCATCGCGATAATTGCAAATCGAGTGCTCAGTCTCTGTTCACTGAGCCCTACTAAGGCTACTCATCAGCACTCCGTGACATTTGCTCTTGCCCCCACACCCAGATTCGGTCGGCAAATAGCCAGATCTCCAGACCGCCGCCGCTCAATCAGACAGCCAGTCATTCGGTCAGAACTCGAGCAGGCTGTCAGTCGTGTGTGTACTGTGTACTGCTTTCCATCAATTGAAAATCTGAGTTCGTTTTCGGGTTGCGCGTAGACATCGATCGCTCATTCCTGGTTTAGTCGGGGAAATGAATTCCATTTAAAAAGTTCTTCGGTCACTACGGAATTCGTTTCCAGAACAAAGGGAGGGCGCTATTCCTGGTCCCAGTTACGCGTAAGTAATTTTTAGAAATGCAAATACTCAGTTGAAGCAAAATGAAATTGGCGCTTTAATTTAACTCAACTCAAAGTAGCAAGCAAACGAAACAAACGGTGAAGATAAATTTGGCAAACTGGTTTAAACCACGAAACTTATTAACTTTTTTGTACAATGCTGTTTACTAATTGATTCTTATTGTACAAATGAATATGCGCCATTAAATGACAGCAAGAGATTCCAGTATTACGACTGAATCCCCATCGAAAGGTTATCACAAAAGCGAAACACTGAGCGATCTGTAAACTAAATTAATTTCAAATGGCAATTAATAGGCAAAGTGAATCGTTAAGTTTATTGTCAATAGTTCCCAATATCTCAATTTCAGGAGCAATGACATCGGATCGCAGCAACGACGCTCCCTAGGAATATCAAGATGCAAACAGCTAGCAGCCTTAAGGGCAGCACAACCTCCCAAAACAGCTCCCTTCAATACAGCAGCGACATTAACGCCATAAGCCTCGAGCCCGATCATTCGGAGGACTTTCAGTCAGTCAATGGACTCAAGTATTTGCCATCCTGGCCAGCGGTAAATTTGCAGTTTACGGAACTGAGCTATGACGTGCTCGACCAGAGCAATGGTGAGTGAATATGATCTGCTCATGATCATTACGGTTGGGTAATTGGAAATTAATATATTCGTGTCTGATAATGGGTTATTAAGAATGATAATTGGACATAATTCTCAAAGTAATTGCTGTTTCCACAACCCGCTTGTTTTCTGATGTTGAAAATGCACATATTAAAGGGCAATTATTCCAGCTAATTCCACATTAGCTGCGGTGAAAGTCATGCCCCTAGAAGCAAAGCAACCATTCAATGAAAGATTAGTATTCAACTGAGATGGTTCTTTTTATTTTTGTCGCCCCCTTCTGCAGCTTCAAAGAAAAAGACGATTTTGCGGGGAGTCAACGGGATGTTTCACGCCCACGAACTCACGGCCATAATGGGACCTTCAGGAAGTGGTAAAACCACACTGCTGAACCTTTTGGCAGGTTTCGGGTAAAATACAACACATCAAACAATTATTTAATAACTCATCAATATTATACACCAGCGCCGTCAGCAGTTCCGGCGAGATTTTGGTCAACAACAGTCCACGGGATATGCGGGTCTTCCGCAAAATGTCCCGATACATAATGCAGGTACGAGTGGATTTCTGAAATATGTTCGGTTGACAATTCCTTAAATTCACAGACAGATGTTCTGGATCCGCAGTTTTCGGTACACGAAATGATGCTTTTGGCGGCAAACCTGAAGTTGGGGAATGAACTCAATCTTAAGCAAAAACTGGAATTGGTGAGGTTGACTTTAAAACATTGGCCTTGTGTTCTTATCTCCAACCCTGAGTAGATTGACGAAATTTTGGGAATGCTACGCCTAAAAGGATCCCAGAAAACCATGGCCCCTAAGCTCTCGGGCGGTGAGCGAAAGCGTTTATGCATTGCCCTCGAGCTGGTCAACAACCCGCCTGTCATCTTTCTAGACGAACCCACGACGTGAGTTAATAAAATCAGTGAAAAATGATATTAATTCATACCCAAACCAACAGCGGTCTGGATGATTTGTCGAGCTCTCAGTGCATTGCCCTACTGAAAATGTTGGCCGCCGGAGGACGCACTGTGATCTGCTCAATCCACACGCCATCCGCTAAGATCTTCGAGATGCTCGACGCAGTCTACGTCCTCGCAGAGGGCCAGTGCATCTACCAAGGAAGAGGCGCCAATATTGTTCCCTACATGGAGTACCTGGGGCTACACTGTCCAATTACCTACAACCCAGCAGACTTCATCATCGAAGTGGCATGCCTCGAGTACGGGGATTCCCATCACGAGTCAATGGTAGAGGCCGTTGGCAACGGCAAGGTTGCGCGATGGACTCCTCCATCAGAGGACGGAAAAATGACACCCACCAAAACCGACACCACATCGGGAGCGTCGTCGTACTACGAAATGGACCAGTTTGAAGAGGAGATCAGCCCAAAGCTCTTGCAAGCCAAGTGTAGCTGGTGGATGCAGTACAAGTTGCTTTTAATGCGAATGCTGATCCAAATGTGGAGGGACAAGGTAAGTGCACTTAGCGAAAGAAGCCGAAAGGCAATTTTAAAATTTCTTTAATCCCTTAGTCGTACATCAAGCTGAAGTTCTACATGAACATCGTTCTTGCATTACTGGTGGGGTCACTCTACTTTGGAATGGGTACCTCGGCTTCTAAAGCGCTTTTCAATTTCGGTTTCATGTTCACTATTGTGATAGCATACCTGTACCTGCCTATGATGCCAGTGCTCCTCTACTGTAAGTGCTTTAATTTATTATCGAGCATATATATTTAGTAAGGAACACATATTTTGCAGTTCCCACGGAAATAAATCTGTTGAAGAGGGAGTATAACAACCAGTGGTACCGTCTAAGCTCCTATTATGCTGCAATGATTTCGTCGAAGCTGCCATCCATGTTCATTCTAGCAGTTATATACCTATCCATTGTGTACTTAATGTCCAGCCAACCTCTTGAATGGTTCCGCTTCGCCATGTTGTTTACAATAGCTTTTGTTACTGCCTTAACTTCGGACAGTTTTGGCTTGTTGATCTCCAGTAGATTAAGCTTGGTGGTGAGCAATTTTTTACCTACTCTTCTCGAGTATATTTTGATCAGGTTAAATTTCTTTCAGAATGCAATGTTCATGGGGCCAGTGCTAGCCGTGCCTCTGATTCTGCTTTCTATATACGGCATAGGGTACGGCGGAGGAACCTACATATCACCCCTTATGAGGTTTTTGATGCATCTTAGCTACCTTCGCCATGGTATGGAAGGCTTAGTCGCGTCCCTGTATGACTACGGGCGCGCCGACACAATTTGCGAGGACACGGAAATATTTTGTTCCTTCAAAAAGTCCAAGGTCCTTCTAGCCTTCCTTGGTTTTGAGCACATGCACTATTTGTGGTCTCTCACCTGCTTGATTGGCTTCTATTTGCTTTTCACTGTTGCAGCGTATATTATGATAAGACAACGGCTGAAAAAATCATCAGTCAACCCGATCTTCGCATACGTCCTACAGCTGTTAACTAAATATTTTAACTTTACTTCGTACAACTATTAAAAATAGAACCCGGTAAATGTAAAAATAGTTTTAAGCGGGATTTTAGTGGACATTCTAAACCTCGAAGTAACCCATGTTATATAAAGTTTAAAACAAGTATGGGCAAAGTGATATGTACAACTTAATCCTTGGATAAATATTATATTTTTGGGATAAAAAATAGTTTTAGGAAGCCATTATATTCATTTATCAATAGACAAAAAACATAAAAATAAAGAAGAGCAAAATAGTTTATTAAGTTTGTTCCTACAGCCTAAAACTATGCTGCCAGAAAAGACGACAAGCCCAAAAAGATCACCACTATTAATAATAATACGTCCAAAAGTTGACAAAATTAGATTGATTTTGGGATGATTATCAAAGTCCTTTCGAAATCGATTTGAATCTAGTCCAATGATTATTTCATGAAATATATAATATAAACATTTACCTGGTCTTCGGAGAGCGTTCTTGTCTTCTGATACAGCTGAACATTTAGTTGTCTCCATGTACGAGTACTACCCACCGTTATTCCTTGTGCTTGTGTAATTATAATGCCAAATAGTCGATCACAAATGCGCATTTCCAATTCGTATGTATGTAGTAGTGGATTTGAGTTTTTGTTGTGCCCGAGGCTTTTCGCAGCGACTCTTCTCCTGTTCTTACACAGAAATCTTCGATGAGCAGATATGTGGTTCTGATTGGGGCTGGGATCTCACTGGAAAGCAATTGGGGCTCCGTCGCGGCAGAGACTCTTCTCTAGTGCTTATACAGAAACGCTCGACATGTATGTATATATTCTGGTTCGGGCTTTGCGCTTACATGTACTGCTTTTGATGGAGACCCACAGGAAAGCGCAACAGGGGCTCATGGCAAACTATTCTCCTTTTGCTTTATCACAATTAGATTGGAACTAGGCACACATAGTTATTTGATTTAGCTTAAATTTTGCCTTGCGAATGTAAATGGCGGGATTTTAGGAAATTTTGGTTGGTGCAGAAACATCGATGGAAACATCGATGCATCGATGTTTTTCAAATTTCTAAAAACATCGATGTTTTTTTGGGCCATCGATGTTTTTAGGGCCCTCACTGTTCAAAAGCACGCTAAAGGTTTGTAATGTGTTACTTTTTTCCTTCTTTCTTAATAATAATATTTAATTAATTTGTATGTATGAAAGAGCCTTTAGCAAGGCGGGCCAAATCATTTCAGATCGCCGTAGCCGGTTGAAGTCCGGTATCGTTGACCAACTTGTGTTTGTTAACAAGAATTATCATAGCTTTACAAAGTAATCCCTTTAGAATCTAAGATGATCTCAATGGACTGAACTTTTGTTTTTGTTTTTATTTTTTCATTTTTATTTCTTAGCATGTTACTTGAATAAATTAATTGTTTTTTTTATTTTTAATACAAATTCCACCAATATTTTTAAAATTATATTTTATAATACAATTATAGAATCCATCGATGTTTTTTGAAAGAACATCGATGTGTGCAAACATCGATGTTTCTGCACCTCTATTAGTCGTTTTCGCCGGAACTTGCAGTGTATTAAAACTATCGATAGGCTTTGAAGCATTAGGAAATTTTAGCTGGGACTTTGCAGTATTTTAAATACCAAATTGTATGCATCCAAAGTTGGTGTTTTTAAACACTGCAAATTCGTTGGATAACGGCTATTTAAGACTTTAATTTGAATTCATGCCCTACTTGTACACTTATCAGTATAGTAACACAACACAATAAAGCTTTGTCAAAATAAGGTACGACTACTGGAAACAAAGCATTTTTTAATTAAAACTGTCGGTTAAGTTTATTGCAATGATCATTGTCATGTGAAAGTTTGCTTGACTTGTACATATTTTAAATATTACAATATTTCAGATTTAACTATTTTATGGGCGCCTCTTGCGGCCCTTGTGTCAAATACCGGAAATAGTTTGAACTGGATGACTGTTTAATTTGTCTGTTAATAAATTGCAACGCAAGACGCCGATCCTGTTGTTTTAGCAACAAAAACGTCCTGGTCTGTGCATACAGGTCTTGTATGCATTACAATCATTTTATCTGTATTTTTAATATATTTTTGTAAAGGAAAATACATTATCTTATGGTTGGTTGATTACAGAAAATACAAAGACAGTGTGTAATTTACATACAATCGAGTTGTTTAAAAACTTTTGGTTAAACATATACAACGCATACGACAACATATAGCAATATTAAAAGTTACAAAAATTTGTGTACAATTAGGGCATGAGAATGGTGCACAATTTCTAGGCAGCGGATATTAGTTTTATACAATTTCAATAGATGCCAACTGAATTACATTGCAGGGTATTTGAAGGGCAGACTAACTACTTCTTCAATTTTTGTGATAACAAAACTGAGCGACTCTATACTATGTATATGTATAACTAAAGCTCATCAATTGTGTTGGAGCCCTCTATTAAGTATATATATGGGGGTAGTATGACGACTACAACTAGTGTTGTGTGAGAAGACTACACACATCAAATTGGTTTAAATTATATAGCGAAGAGCGCAGGTGCGGTAAGAAACGAAAGCCCAAAGCAGGACGCAGGCCGATGTGGCTGGCTTCCCGACTTTTAACTTTAAAAACGAAACTAAAAATTACGTTGGTGTTGTGGTTTCTATTGATGTTGACGCTGATGGCGATAACGATGTCTTCGACCTTTTAGCACATGGTGACTGCGGAAGCGGCGCGTCAGCGTCTAGTCAGTTGTCAGTCTCCAAAGGCTTTGCCTCCTCCCACGAGAAGCCGGCACGACCAAAGTGGCCATAAGTGCTGGTGCGCTGGTATATCGGCTGACGCAGGTTTAAGTCCCTGAGCACAAAATTATTGAAAATTAGTTATTGAGACTATATTGACGTATCTAGACTCTAGGGCTTTGCACTTACTTGACAATCTTGCCGGGCCTGAGGTCAAAGTTGCGCCGGATGATATCCAGAAGTTCCTTTTGTGACTTGTGGGATGTTCCGTAGTCGAACACGGTTATGGAAAGAGGCTCGGCAAGACCGATGGCGTACGAGACTTGGACCAGGCAGCGCTTGCACAGACCAGCTTTAACCAGTGACTTGGCCACCCAGCGGGCTGCATATGCTGCAGATCTGTCGACTTTGGTGAAATCCTTGCCAGAGAAGGCACCACCGCCGTGGGCGCCCCAACCTCCGTAGGTGTCCACAATGATTTTCCTGCCCGTTAGTCCGGCGTCACCCATTGGTCCACCGATGACAAAGAGGCCGCAGGGATTGATGTGCACAATGGTGTTGGCATCAATGTATTTGGCGGGAATGACAACTTTCACTACTTTCTCCATTACTTCCGAGCGCAGGGTCTCAAGCGAAATCTTCTCAGAGTGTTGCATGGACACTACGATGGTGTGGACCCGCTTGGGAACAGCTGATCCCTGATTAAATAGGTACTCGCAGGTGACTTGTGTCTTAGAATCGGGGCGAGCCCACCAGAAGACATCCGAGCGACGCAGCTCAGCAATCTTCTCGTTCAGTTTGTGGGCCAACACGACCGTTAGGGGCATGCACTCCTCGGTCTCATCGGTGGCATATCCAAACATGATGCCCTGCAAAAATTGCATTTAACTTTAATAATGATCTTTTCTCATAAGCTCCAAGCAAAAGTAACCAAAACCAAAAAGTCAGTAGAGTTAGTGAAATAAAATATATGTGGGTTAGGAAATTTAAGGGCGAATCATGCATTAGGTAGAGATTGAAAAAGCTTTTGGTTCAGAGAACATAGAAATGTAACTAAACAGCCAAAATGTTGTGTTCTGTGATGAATAAGCGGTAGTGTGCTTTGGTTTTGTGCATTTGTTATTTGAAACAGTTGTATACGCTGAAGAAATTAAAGGTAAATCATATTTCCGTAATTTACTGATTGAACAACGAATAGATTTTGCAGCTTCAAATAACAATCAGGGCAACATAATGTTAGGTTGGAGGGGAGGTGAAATTGCTAGAATAATATTGCAGCGCTACATATGGTACTAAACTAAATATGAATTCGAAACTAAATAGTGGTACAGTCGTCATACACTCTTCCGATTAGTTACGAAAATATATTAAGGAAACAATAAACACAAATTTTACAAGTGGCGTAAAACCCCTTCCAAAGAGCCTATAAACGCCCAACCACCGTGAATATCTGATCCGTAACCAATTGGCGATCTATAGAAGAACATATTATGCGTCGCTCTTTGGAAAGGGTCTACGATCCCGGCCTGCCGAGACTGTCAGTGCGTTACTGCTTCTAATTCACACCTGATCTCCGGCACCGATTTCTTCCTCGGCGCGGTTGACATGCACTCCGGCAGCGATTTCGGGCGATTGTTGGTCCAATGCCAAGAGGACGTTGCACGTTTTAAAATCGAAACCTTTTGTGAGTTTCGAACCGCGATTGCAAATTGCACAATATCGTTTAAAATATGGTATTGGTTTGTATCGTGTTTTGTTAAATATGAAACGAGAGAGAAAGATAAAAGAAAAGAGCGCAGCAATGTTGCACACACACAGGAAAATGTCTGTAAGTAATGTTTATAATATGATTTGCATCACCCTATTATTCTAGATTATAAGTAAATGTTCATATACAAAATTAGCTCATGTTTTCTTTATCAGGACTCCTTTGCAAAAAGCTGATGTCTGATGAAATTGGTTGTACCGTAGCCTAGGAAGCCTTTCGGTCTTCTTTGATAGGGGAACACATGCCGCATGCAAGACTTCGTTTTCGCTGGGTACCTTAAAACGTCAACTAACATATTCTTAATGATTACAAAAATCTTTCGATGGATTAGGTAGAATGCAATTTATGTGGTTAGAAAACCCGCAGTATAATTGAAATGTGTCGTGTGTTATGTATTTCAGCAGAAGCTGATTTGCTCGAGGTGCACCTTTTAACTTGTTATCTGCAGATTGCTATTGAATAATTAAATCTATTTATAAATATGGGATCGATTCCATTTTCATATCAAATGGACGCTGTTAAATATTTTTTGGTCTGTTGTGAAATAAATGAATTCTCCTAATATTCATCTGCTGGTAATGATAAAGGTGAAACCCTCGTTGGCCTGTGAGCTAGCCAAGTTAATGTGGGAAAGATACGGTTTGAGGGGAACACTTAACAAAATGAAAACGAAACGAACGAACGCACACACACTCTCCGCATCACTTAGTGCTAGGCGGTAGAAGAACGGATAAGCTTTGCTGTACCTGGTCACCAGCGCCGACGTCGTCTTCTTCGCGGTTGATGTGCACGCCGTTGGCAATGTTGGGCGACTGCTGCTCGATTGCGACAAGCAGATTTAGGGTCTTCCAATCGAAACCTTTTTGATTTTGATTTGATTTTATGGTGATTTAATATTGGGTATACAAATGTGTACGTATTTTCGACGTGAGGAACGAATCCTGGAACCCGCCCACAAATAATTGATATACTTAGTAGACACTTACCCTTGGAGGAGTCATCGTAGCCAATGTGCTGCACTGTCTCACGAACAACTTTCTGATAGTCGACTACGGCCTTTGATGTGATCTCGCCGCATAGCAGGATCATGCCAGTCTTGGCGACGGTTTCTGTATAAGACAAGATGAATAGGTTTAAGTTTTCCTTTAATGGCAAAGCCAGCCTCTCCAGTAAATCTTTAAAACCTTCCCATCGCCTTGCAGATCGGTTCGCCTTGTTTATTTATGCTGGCCATCGAATAAGCCGACTTCCAAAAGCTTGGCACACGCGACGGTTGCTGCGCCAATGTTTACTTTACGGATGAGTTTATTTATGGTCTGCCACCCTTAAAGACAAATATGTTCTTTCGGCGCCCTTTTGTCGAGTTTGTATTAGAAACCGATTTCGGGAGACTCAAAGAGGTCAGTAGCCTTGGTGTTTGGGATTTCAGTTTATAGATTTACCGGGCAGACATGGTTTCCTGGATTCTTTAGGACTTACCGCACGCCACTTTTGCGTTGGGATCCTGCTTTAGATGGGCGTCCAAGATAGCGTCGCTGATTTGGTCGCACATTTTGTCTGCAAAAAGAGAGGAGAAGGTTAGTACAGATACGATAATGTGTACCGCCAAGCACCCGGGGCAGTAGAAGGAGCAGTGTTTGTGCCAAATACACACGCGCTCCCCCAACGATTGTCGCCGCCTAGGCGAGACAGAAAAAATTGCCAGGCCATGCGATTTATTTTAATTTTCAGTCTGCGATTGCCAGCGAAATTCAATGCCACTTTATGTCTATAACTCAGAACAAGAGCCTAAGGCAATGATGGCGTTTGCTCAAACAAAATATGATGGAATTCAATGCCGAATCGCGCTTGGAATCCTTTGACTCGAATTCATCCGATACCAGTCGCGTTGCCAACGCTTTGTCCCGAAACATGTCGCGTAATCGGAGCCCTTCGACTTTCGGCAGCTTTCCGTGGAAACAGCGTTATTGAACTTAAACATTGCGTCAGCAATGGGCTCGTGAATTGGCAAAACTGTAAAAGTGTTGACTCATATAAATGGCGATGCGTCTCGATTTCGCCTGGGAAAATTATTGCAAAGATGTAGGTAAGAGTGGTTTAATTTAGGGCTTCGAGGAAGCAACTCCGAGATGGAAAAATACTTCCCCATTTCCGTATAGATACGTTCCCAATGTAACAAGCCCGTCACTCAATCGTTACAGGAAGACAGGTGAAATTAATGTCAACCCTTCAGGGTGTAGTCTTTTGGGTAGCTTTCGACCCTTATCTACAAGCAGAGCTGTCGAGGCTGGCTTGCCAAGCCGACTTAATTAGCATTATAAAATATAGAATGGTAAAAGTAATCAATGCGTAGTATAAAAGGTCGCTCCCCTTATCGGCAGCTGTTGTCAAATACATTCGTTTGCTGGTCGGTCCCGCTGATATAAACAAACTCTGGCAGCGGCAAAAAGCCCGAGCTCGAGCGAAACACGTGGTTGGCATTTCGCCGGAAAGATAAGCTTTGAAAGCGGACTCGTGGAGCGCCACAAAGTCAACGTGGGTTTGTTTTAGTTTGGCCCTTGTTTTGATCGCCTTCTACGAACAAGTGTACGAGTGCATAAGCAGCGCTGAGGAGCGCAGAGAATGCTCCCAGCGGCCAGCTCCCAACGAGCTCGAAGCACATGGTGCGCATGACGCAGATTCCCCGAAAGTGTGAGAGCCGCAAACGATAAAGAACCAGTCTATAAATTGCGTTGGACCCACAAGCACAAGGTTTGGCACCGCCGCTGTGCGGGGCTCTCAAGAGTGGTCTGCTGTTCTACGAGGGCCCAGGTTGCCGGCTGCGGCACCTGACGATGCAGCGAAGAATCCGAGTCCCAGGAATAAAAAGTCCATGAGATGCGTAACAAATCGCCCTTACTCTTGATGGGTTTTTCAGCGGTCCGGGGGAACACCACTCCATCATATCGCTGAGTAAACAAGCACGTTTTTCGCCGTTCGCTACCCTCTTTCCACTACTCAGCCGCTACAAAAGAAGCGCAAATTGGGTAGCAATCAACAAAGGTATGCGGCATAGCACTCCGTCGCCATTTTGTTAGATCTCAGACAGTAGGCGGTGGAGGTGTGGGAAAGGGAATGACTGTAGAGGGGCTGAGGCTACAACCAGCTGGGCCTCAGAGCCTGGAGAAACGGTTCGGCTAGGCTATGAGCACCGCTTTTCCCATACGACGCAGACGTACATCCCTCAGTGCGACCGAATGTGCAATTTGCCTGTATCTGTATACACGACGCACATGCAGCGGCACCAGCGGTATGATGCAATAGGAGGTGGCGCGGATGCAATGGAACACTCACCTGGATGGCCCTCGCCCACGGACTCGGAAGTGAACAGGAATGTGGCTCCGTCTTCCATGTCATAGGAGTTTCCATTGCTGCCGTTGCAGCCGTTGGCGCTGTGTCCGTTTGTCTTTTGCGGCATTTTGCTGGGGAGTTTGTAGTGTGTAGCTCGAAGCTTGTAGTTCTGAAGGAGGAGAAGGGCTTCAACGTGAGTTCCGGTCGGTTAAGTTGTTGGTGGAGCTGTGGGAAGAGAGAGAGAACAGGCCACATTAGCGGGAGCTAAAAAACGCTTGACGAAATTGATTTTCCGAACTCTCACAAAACACAGCTATTTTCGCATTTGCGGATCTGCGCTGCCCGCCGCCCCAAGGCTGTTGGGACTTTCCGGTTTTCGCACGCTTTTCGTACTGTGTATAGTTTTTTATATAATCGCTTTTCTTTTATGTACATTATGCTGCGTGTTTACCACGCAGTCGGGGGCGCTTCGCTCACGGCACGCACGTTGCGCGGGGTCAAAAGCAAACTAGTCGCTGGGCAAGTGGAGGCTGGTTTAAATGCGTGTTCGACTGGCTATTAGTTCAATAAATTATACACACTGATTCTGAGTTCTACTGGTTCAGCGACGGCAACCAAATCAGCGGCACAGCCAACACACGTCCTATCTTGGTGACGGTTCTGTAGAAAAAGAGCGCACTCTTTTCACGGCTTTCTGACTTTATACCTCTAACGAGAGAGCGGGCTTCTGCCTATCGTCGCGAACGGGAGGGGGCGTTCTCTTCGGCTGACTCAGTACGTATTTTGGGGCTTATTTTGGCGCTCTTCGTGGGGGCCGCAAAACTTTCCTGGCGTTCTCGGGACTCTCAGACAAATTCACTTCATCAGCATCTCCACGTTTTTGCTATTGCATCAGCTGTTCCCCCGCCTAGCGTTGCCACCCCTCGCGGGAGTGAACTTGGTGGTTCCGATCTGGTTCCGGATCCTTCCTACTCACTTGGTTCTGATCAAAGGATTTCACGAGGTTCGGCTGAAGTCCGACTTGCTTCCTGCTCAACCTGAGCTCGACTGCGGTCGATTTTTAGAGGCGAGCCGTATTTATAAACTTGCGAAGCCAGCGTTTCGGAAGATGAGTCGGCAGGAAATAGGAGCTTATCAGAACAAAACTATGTGCCACCACGCCAGGCACCTATGTGTATATAGACTTTTCAGAATCTATTTAAATTTACTCTCTCTGCCTTGCCTATGTACACAAGTTCGGTTTTACATATTCGGCGATATTCTCAATCGCTATACGAAGCGCTATGCAAGGCGCATTGTTAAGTGATGACTATTTGCTGAAATCCTAGCTTCCCCTCAACCTGGAGTGATTGACCCTTTCGGCTGGGTCATCCGACTCCCTCCGGTCAAGTGAAATCGTACACCAATTTAGGGGTTTCATACCATTCGTGCAATCTGTGCAATTGAAAAAGTGCTCACGTCATGGCACAAACAAGGTCTGCCAAGATCAAGGCGCTTGGTAATCAGCATGTAGATTTTAAAAATTCTAATACCCACTGAAATAACCGAAAACAGGAGGCTTCATTATCTTTTAAATTAGGTGTGACCAGTGACCCCCCGGGGCTCAAAGAAGATCGCGTGTGTCTAAAAAACAGTTGGGACAGATGTGCAAGCACACGTTTATTCTAGATCACAAATAGTACTTGCAGATGCTAGCTTGTGACACTGCATATACTTGCCATCAATTATATTGTCGTAGTGACTGAAATTTAAAGTAAGCCATTGGTGAATATTGTTTCTTTCAAGACAAGTACAATATTGTGGTTTTTACTCTAATAGGTTATGCAAATAAGTGATACTTACCTTTAAAATATCTATTTCGAAGAGGGTCTCAAACAATGTTTGACTGATTATTTTTCCTGACTTCATTTTGCTCACATCCAGTAAATCTGCACAAGAGCTATCAGCATCAGCCAGCTATGTGACCCCAACACCGAGTGACTCGGCACAAACACAGTTGATGATTAATATTCTTATTTGTGTAGTATAGTTCGCTTTAAAACAATTAAGCGCTATTACATGCACAATTTCCGTTTGAATATGAAGAAAGCTAGCGCCAGTTGACCGAAACGATGTGGCAACTCTACCCGATAAACGTCAGATAGGGCGATAAACAGCTGTTTGTGAAGGAAAACAAATTTAACAAATTGTGAAAAGTTAAATGCGAACGTTATTTACGACCACGTCACATCCCGTCGGTCAAAATGAGGTTTTGGCTACTTTGTAGTGCGGCCGCCCTTTTGGTCGTCTTTCAAGCGGCGGCGGACATCAGTGGCCCGGAGCTCCCTAACAACATCACAACCATTAACTCCACCTCGGTAGAAAGTAACAACTCCACTCACGCTTCGCCTGAAGTGTCAGCCAGCAGTCCTTCGGGCAACTTATCGCCCTCAACTGCTGCTCCTGGCAACGGAAGCACCACGAGGAAGGGTAACGCATCCTCAGTGGCCACGGAGCCACCGCTCATCGATTCCCATGCCGTCGAGCAGGAGCACAACTCCTCGCTGTCCTTGTTTTTCGTCATCTGCGTGATCATGCTGGGCATCCTGCTGATCCACTCCATGCTGCAGACCGGATTCCAGTACCTGCCGGAGAGCATAGTGGTGGTCTTCCTGGGGGCCTTCATCGGTCTGTCGCTGAACGTGATGTCCGGACAGAATGGCAGCTGGAAGCGCGAGGAGGTCTTCTCGCCCATGGGCTTCTTTCTGGTGCTTCTACCGCCAATTATATTCGAGTCCGGCTACAATCTGCACAAGGGAAACTTTTTTCAGAACATCGGATCGATACTGGTGTTTGCCATATTCGGCACAACGATTTCTGCACTTGTCATCGGGGCGGGAATTTATCTGCTGGGACTGGCAGAGGTTGCGTTTCGGTATGTTAAATATTAATTACCAGCTATTACAGGCTAATGTCCGCCTATTTTAGGCTCAGCTTTTCGGAGTCCTTTGCGTTTGGGTCGCTTATCTCCGCTGTGGATCCTGTCGCAACTGTGGCCATTTTCCATGCCCTGGACGTGGACCCCATTCTCAACATGTTGGTGTTCGGTGAGAGCATCCTGAACGACGCCATATCGATTGTCCTGACCGCCTCCATCACCCAATCGGCCAATGCAAATGCTGAGGCCAGCACTGGGGAGGCCATGTTCAGTGCATTAAAGACTTTCTGCGCCATGTTCTTCGCTTCGGCGGGCATTGGAGTCATCTTCGCCCTGATATCGGCACTACTCCTCAAGCACATAGATTTGCGAAAGCATCCGTCCCTGGAGTTTGCCATGATGCTTATGTTTACCTACGCCCCCTACGTTTTGGCCGAGGGAATACATCTAAGCGGTATATCAGTGTTTCTGACTTAATCCAATCCCGACATAATAATTATTTTCCAACAGGTATCATGGCCATACTATTTTGTGGAATCGTCATGTCTCACTACACGCATTTTAACCTATCCACTGTGAGGCATTAGAATAATAATATTACTTTTACGTATATTGTTAACACGTTATCGTCGCAGGTCACTCAAATCACCATGCAACAGACGATGAGGACACTGGCTTTTATAGCTGAAACATGCGTTTTTGCTTATCTGGGCTTGGCAATTTTTTCGTTTAAGCACCAAGTAGAACTATCTTTTGTTATATGGGCAATAGTACTCTGCCTAATTGGACGCGCCTGCAACATTTTCCCGCTAGCGTTCTTGGTCAACAAATTCCGCGAGCATAAGATCAACAACAAGATGCAGTTCATCATGTGGTTTTCAGGCCTACGCGGGGCCATTTCATACGCACTGTCTTTACACTTAAACCTCGACAGCCAGGAGAAGCGCCACGTCATCATAACAACTACGTAAGTGGGTCCTGCTTGCAAAAAATATCAAGTCATTAAAAAATGAATATTTCAGACTGATCATCGTGCTGTTTACCACACTAGTATTGGGCGGCTCAACGATGCCACTGCTAAAATATCTTAAGCCCGGCAAGAAACGCCGCACACGTGGCTCCGTGCGCAATACCCCTGAGGAGGGAGGCCGTCGCAGTGGCAGCGGCCGAAAGCGGTCGAAGTCTATTTCCCTGTCGAAGACCCGTGAGTGGGGCCAGGCAATCGACTCGGAGCACCTGTCGGAGCTCACTGAGGAGGAGGACGTCACCTTCACACAGGCCCGCGATCGCTTTGGGCGCATGGATCGAAAGTACTTCATTCCGTTCTTTACGCGACGGTTCAACAGTCAGGAACTGCACGAATGCAAGTCGCAAATGGCCGACCTGACTAATAAGTGGTACCAAGCCATTCGCGTGAGTCCATTGGATTCGGATGAATCTGATGAAGAGATTGGGTTGGCGGCCAGCACAAGTCAGAGTCATCTGACGCGATCGTAGAAATTCGAGGGCTGTTTTGGGGAACTCTGGCTGTGTTGGGAAACTTGGGTGGCCAAAGAGAAGGATCGTATTTATTACTTAAGTTGTTCTAGGTAAAATTTATCGTTTTTATTTATACAATGGTGGTGGTGATTGTTAACTCGTCTATGTTATCCTTGTTCCAAAATGTTTGTTTGTTAGATCTACATGCACTGAATTATCCGTATCTTGCTAGTTCCTTTATTTATCCGCTTCAAACAGTATTTCGTTGCACACAAAATTTGGTCTTCAAAATAGCAATTTGGACGTTACAAAAACAGACTAGGTCAGAAACGTATGTTTAAACTATTTATTGATACTTGAATGTATTTTATGACTGCATTTGTGATTTTGTACATTGAAACCAAATATAATATATATTTAAATGTGATACCAATAGCAAAATGTGGTTTTGACCGGCTTGGTGAAATAAAATTTTTTGTGAAGGAAAACAATAACTTTTCTTAAATTCACTTTGGCCATAGAATTTATAATTACATATCAATGGTAATATTATTAACTATTAAACTAAAATTGACTACGAAAGGTGTGCGCTATGGAAACTGCTACAGTTCTTCGTGCGTGGACTCCTCACCGAGCTGATTCACCGTGGAATTTGAATCGCTGCTGACTGCAATCGAAGTACAAAAATCGTTAGAATGCTTAAGCAACTGCAACTGGTATTAATCAAGAATACTGATCATTAAAGCTCTCGTTCATCTTTATCAAAAAATAAACCTAACACTACCGCTCGATTTGTGTCTTCTAACCCGGCAGAGTTTGGCTTATAATGACTTCATGATCAGTTCCTCCAACTGCTTAGTGTCAATTTCGGGCTGGTGGCCACCTTCTGCCTCCGAGTTCATCCAGTACTCAGAAACGGCAATGTACACGGCCACCGCCGCCCCAACAATGCAACCCCAGGCAATGTGTGTGGAGCTCTGGAAGATGACGCAGGTGGCCACGCACATGCCGAAGTAAGTGAGCATTCGCGTATAGCTCACATAGTTGCTACGTTGCTCAGCAGAAAGGTCTTTTGTTGGTCGGAGGTGCAAGACATATGGTGGTAAATGCGTTGTTAAGAAGCAAATTGGTGTACATGTGTATTACTTACCGTGGCACTTGCCGTCCCTCAGCTCAAAGCCATCCGCACACTTCTTGCACATGTCCGGGCCATCGCCGTCGCAGCCATCGCAAGAGCGATCGCACTCCAGGCAGCTAAAGGAGCCCTCATTGTTTACGCAGAACTGCTGCGGTCGGCAGGAATTCGGACGCTTTTGCTCCAGGCACTCATTTATGTCCACACACCCCGCTTCCGAGTCCATGCTCCACCCGTCCTTACACTTGCGGCAGTTTTTCGGACCACCTCCAGTGCAACCGCCATCGCCGCAGGCCACGTGGCACTGTGTACACAGTAATTTCTTCT